TTTATATTTTACAACCAACATATATTTGTATACTATTTGTCTGGTTTGCATCCTATTAAACTGAAAAATTAACATTATTAATTAATAATAAAATTGCATCGCTTAGTTTTTTTTTTAAATTGACAGTTCATATAGCCCCGGTTAAAATTACATGCATATAATTAAGATTTTTAAAATTAAATTTCTATCACTCAAAAAACTAACGTCACTTGCGCATTCATCACTTTTTTTTTGTTTGTTTGCACTTTTATTAAATTACGTATTTTTAAAAAAAAATTCGATTGAATTACCTTATACGGATTGACTGTCTGATAATTCCTGAAAATTCTATTTAACCATTACTCTTACCTATACATTTAACATATTTTACGAGTAAAATTATAATAAAATATTAAAAGCACTTTATATTTAATTAATTTCGTAACTAATATACATTCTATCTTACTTATTTCATAATATATGTCTGTCTTTATTACGAATGCATTTTTACTTTGCTCAAAGGGCTTAAATCTAATCATAAAACTTCTTTAACTTTTATTAATAGAAGCCTTTCGTGGTAAAAATATGTAGCTAAGCTCTGTTTTAATATTACATTAAATGTTACTTAAAGTAAAATTTTATTTTATATTGAATAATACGATTGTATTTTTACGTAAAAATTTATTTCAACAAGTTAATTAAATATGTTCTGAATCAAAATTCGATGAAATTGCTTTTTTCTATTATTGGAATCATTATTCGTTTCTCAAACCCATGTAACATCTAAATCGATCAAAGTCCTGTCACTCAACATGAAACATTGAAGTTACGTAAAATCAACGTGTCAGGCTTAATTCTAATTCTATTCAGATCATCGTCTGTACAAGTAATCCGGCCTTCGGAATCGCAGATGATTCGATGATCGTGGAAGCATTACATTCCGTATATTAACATCAATGTGCATGTATTACGTACGAGCTACCACACTACTACCACGTAAGAATATCAATGAATTGGGCTTCACGCGACAGTGACGATGCTACAACATGGACATGTTATCCTTAAATCAGAAAGAAATTTTCCTGAAATGCATTAAAGTATATAACATAATCGTAATTCCAAATGTATGTCTGAAAGATATTTAAAGTGAAAAATCTTAAATATAAATACGTCACTTTATATTAGATATTTAAAGCGTTTAAAACGATTTTCACTGAAATGCAATTTTTATGTAAGTTGGGCAGTGACGTGTAATAAAACTAATCAACGAACTTTGAGTAAAATATTGTTCATCCCATAGTGGAATTAATAGGAAAAATCAATTGCTTGAACATGTTTAAATCCTAATAAATTGAACAATATGTTATTTATGCGCATTTCGTATGCTATATATAAGAGATTATTTACATCATTTTCTTCGATACGTAATAAATATTGAAAGATCGATACAATTATAGGTGTAAATACTTGAAAAATTTATATTTACTAATATACATATACATACATTATCCCAATGTTAAAATAGAAGATACATTAAATATTAAGTAAGTCGTTTTGGAAAAACATAATCCTATGTTGAACAAAACGTTCGCATTATTATTTTAAATATATAAATTCAAAATGAAACAATAATTTTAGAAAAATGTAGCAGATCTTCAAAAAATTATTTTAATCTCTCAGAAACTGATAGCGGCTTCTACATGATCAAATCTTAAAAGATTGCAAACAAAAATTGTGATACGTACCAATACATATTCTTTGATTCACAATCTCAACAATACAAACTTATTTTTACTTAAAAACTTACGCTACGCCAAAGTCTCTAAAATTACTATAGAAATTTCTTCTTAAAACATAATCCATTAAACGCAAAATCTAATCAATACACTTTATCTTCTCTCTCTCTCTCTCTCTCTCTCTCTCTCTCTCTCTCTCTCCATATATATATAATAATTTATTTTCAATTTGTTTCAATTCAAGCATTAAATGTTGAGATGCATTTTTAGTCGAGTTGAGTGTGAAAAATCCAAATGAAAATTCTTCGAATTCTCATCTACAAATTATATATTGAACAAGCAAAATTTTTATTATCTATGTAATATGGTATCGGTGCAATATATAAGAATATTAAAACAATCCAAATTTTTTTATATATGATAAATGGATGAAAAATTAATTTTTTGTGAAAAAATGGTAGATAAATCATTAATAATGTAAAACATTTTCAGCGTTTTAGTGTATAAGTAAATTAATGATCAGATCGATCTTCTACTTAAGTATTTATTATCTTTTGAGGCATATTACAAGTTAAAACAAATAAAGATTTGATTTGCAGAAAATTTCAATATCCTATAATTAAACGTTTCCTTCATGAATTTACTAATAGGCACTTGGTTCAAACTTTATTAAATTACTTTTATGAAATGCAGACTTATTAAATGCTTTATTTATTTTACATTTTATATATTTCACATTTTTTGTAATATTTGTTTACAATTTTAATTGAGTAAATCACAAGTGAAGATCTTTTTAATAATTTATTTATTTTCTCATTGAAAATTAAACAAAATATTAGAAAGGTTTTGATTTATGCTTTACTCAATGAAAAAAAGGAACATTATAAGATTCTAACTATCTTTTATAATTTCAATTATTACTACGGGAAATGTAAAATGATTGCAAGTATCCTAAACCAATACGCACAAATACAATTAATGCTGAAGTAAGCTTAGATTATTAACGTTAATATATATATATATATATATATATATATATATATATATTAGACGTAATTGGAACCGTTTAATAATTTCACAGCAAAATGGGATTAGTATTTTGATAAATCTTTCACAAAGTTTACTTTAAAATCTTATCATTTAACTACGTTTGCAAGTTACAATTATAAGCCTTAAATTTTGAATTTCTCTTCAATTTTTTGATTCAACGCTCAAACAAATAACAGCTTCACTATTGAAAATAAATCGTTCTACAAAATCTCATTGTTATTGTTACGAAACCTCTTCTAATTAATAGCACTTTGAACGAGGTCGAAGCTAATTGCAAATATCTTTTATTGTAATCTTTACAATATATATCTGCGAATAACATCTGCTATACATTAAATATAAAATTTTCATCAATTCGTATTAGAAACAATTTATTTTATAAACACAAGGCATTATTAATGCTTATGAGACGATTGATCGATTAGTTTATTTTTTAAGCGAGTAAATCCCAGGAATATTATTTCGAAGCAGAATCTAGAATTTCGTTAGAGAGGAAGGCGGTATAAGAATGCCGTTGAATTACAATAGTAATCTTTGCGAATCGTATAATTTATCCTTAGATTTTCTTTAATTACATGTCCTTTATAAAAAGCATTTCGATTCCGATGAAAAAAAGCAAGTTTTTTTTCTTCGTATATTACAAATTGCTGCATTAACGTAAGAAACGGGCATTATTCTATTGATCTACTGAGCTGCGCACAATTGAAGATGCTACGTTTATAATAACAAAATTACGAACTTCGTGATATGAATTGACAAAAATTTTACGCAAAGTATTATTATATCCCTTGGCCATTCGGCCAATCTAGCAAAATGATCAACTCTGTATCGTCAGTCACGTTCACTTTTATGCATTTTAATGGCAAATACGAATGGAAATACAACTGACACCGACTATCTAAGCTCTAGTCAATTATATTATCGATGAGCTAACCAAGGAGTGCGTATAGATTAATCACGCTTCCTTTTTTCCTACGAGAGCACATCACTGCCGTCACGTTTCTACTATAAAAAAATAAAGAAGAAGAAGCCATTACGTAATAGAAATAAAATCGAAACTCTGCGCCACTAGTTTCGCTCGCTTGTCAGCTGAAACTGCTCGCATCGTATTAGCATTTCAGATTTAACTATCGAAGCATTATTAATGATATTAAAGCGATTCTTCGCTCGACCAAGCGAAACATCCAATATATCTATTTACAGAAGATTGCGAGTACTGTTAGCGCGGCCCGAGCAACTTCCCGCAACTTCCTTCCTTTAACAGCGCGGCGAATCCTCCCATTAACAGGGCAAAATGTCGAACCAAGGCCGGCCCGAGCCAGCACAATACTGCAAAATATACAGGAGGACGAGAGAGAGCGACATCGAGGAATTATCCAACTCCTTGGGTGGCAGCGCACATAAATCACACGCTCCTCGTTGGCCTACAACTGCGCCGCGCGTAAATTCAACGAAACTTTGGCAATCGGAGTTACGGCGAGTCGGGGAACAACGAGGACACGATGTAGGTCCTCTAAGCAGGAAGTCGCGTGGTAGCGACGTGTCGTGGAGAAGCGTACGTCAGATTTAACGAATCGAGGTGCCGGCCGAGACTTGACCTTTGCCCCCTTCGCGTAGGTGGTGTGCCTAGTGTGTTTTGAGGCGTCTCGAGGCAGAATAACGACCGACTGAGAATTATTATTCCCTGTTCTATGGTCCTTTGGCATTTTCATTAGGTATGCCTTACGTACATAGGATCTTCGTCACTCGCTCTTCAGCATAATATTTATTATCCTTAGAACGGTGAGATGAGCAATAATCTAAGACTCTTATCTCGACCCTGGCGATAGTGGCCTGAGAAATTAATGCACTCTAATTAAATTTTCACATTGCGGAAAACTTTCCGATAATATCGAGCCATTAATAATCGCAATCGTGCTCCAAGCTACTAATGTGCCTAATAAATCGATTGGTTTATCGATAAATTTAAGGCAAGATTAGGCACATTATTTGGAAATAAAAATGATTTTTTAATGTGGTGTAATGGCTGGTAGGGTGGGTAGGTTACGCATGTGATTTCCTAATTTCAACCTCAAAGTTTGATAAAATTCGTAAAAAGACAAAAGACATTTTTTTTTTGAAATGGCGTGGTATTATATAATGAAAAATTCATTCTCTACTTTATCATTCGCATTATTAATAGTACCGAGGCCTAAACGGCTAATTCTAACTAATGATAATTACTTATCTTTATAGCAGGCGTCGCATACACGAATTCGCAAAAGATTCACGGTTCAAATCTTGCTTGCCACCAGCTTTACGATTATGTAGTAACGCAGCCTTAATTTAATCGGACCATCACAAATATGAAATAAATTTGGCGCAATCGACTAGAATTTTCGATACCAAGGTAAGATATTGATTTACACAGACTCAAACAATTATTGATATTTCCTCGACAATTAGTCATATTAATGCGTCCTTTAATTTCAATTCCCACTCTTTACCATATTGCTATTAACTTTATTCTTATTAATTAAGTATTATTATTATTGATTAATTGAAGTTTGCATAAAGTGTCAATTATGCTTTAAAACATCGGTGTCGAATGATAAAACGTCCAGCTCAATTAATAATCAATAATTAATAATTCCTAGTCTGAGAGAACGAAACGAATTCTCCAGATCATTAAATTCATGTCAAAGCAAACAATTAATACAAAGCCAAGGCCAATTGCCATTTGAATGAAAATCTTCATCGATCCATCAAGAAACCCCGCGCCCCGGGTTCGTCACAACAACTTCCTCCCCGCTACAGCCCAGTCGCAATGTCTTTGGAATTTCAGAAAGAGACCGCTAATGAAAGTGCAGTAGGAGCCAATTAGCTGACACTAAGACACGAGCATAAATAACAAGGGGATGAGCCGACTCCCAGTGCAGCAGCCGAAGCCGTAACCAGAGGAATGATTCACAAGAGCAAGAGCATCAGAGTGGTAGGTGGAATGGCTAATGTGATATTGTTGTTACATCGGCAGGGCGCGACCGCTCTTTCCGCACTTTTCCCCCCTCGAGTTTCAGCTCGTTTTCTTTCTTTACGCTCTCGCTTTGATGTGTTTATTTATCGTCTAACCTGACGATTCATTTAAACATTGAGGCGCATGAGGCAGGAGGGTCGACGGTGATGCTTAATTGAAGCCAATATTTTTGCTGAAACTCGCTGTATCGCGAGCGACCTCACGGGTGTCTATTGTGTAACGGAATCGTTCGCGGCCCTTTATCTCGACCGAATAAAGTGTAATTTATTTCGACCCTTTACGAAAATTGTAATCGTGACTAGCGTCCTTATCCTCCAAGTGCTTCATCGACTCTCTTTACGGCCAAAGCACCAAGATTAAATGTAGGCTGCGTCGTAAGTTACTTGGCTGTTATTCGGCGAGCTTTTCTTTCTCTTCTTTTCCTTTTTTTTTTTTTTTTTTTTTTTTTTTTTTTTTTTTTTTTTTTTTTTTTAACAGTGGCAATATCGTGTAATATTATGGGATGAAAAATGTTGAATAATGTTGAATTGTGATATAAAAAAAATGGAGGAGCTTTCTTTTTCTTTTTTTTTTTTATAGAGAGCGAGAGTCCTACTTTCAATGAATAACTTCTGCAATCAGCTTGTAATTACTTTATAACGGAGCTATAGAAATTTGTATATTGCATTAGTTACAAAGATAATTTCTTTTTTATCCGACGATAGCACGAGTTGGAGACATTTCGCCGTATAAAAGTCGTGAATTTTTGTACGCAACTGGACTTTAAAGATTTAAGATTTAAATTTTTAATCTATTTAAAAGTAAAAACAGTCGCGCTCGCATCTTTGGTCTCAACATAATCTGTAATCGTACTTATATAAGTTACATATTAAGTATAAAATTACATATTCACGTAAATATAAAAACACATCATCCTGTATTTATTAAAATATCAATTTAAGCAAAATTTAGTTGATGTATTATGTTGAATCATTTACTGACTGTCCGAGCCAATTTTTCATAAGTTTTAAACATTATAATCCATACTACATGATTTTCACATAATTAGCATGATTTATTGAACGAGATCATTTGTCTGTGTATTGTATAAAAAATAATATTTTAATTTATAGGATATTTTTTAATATATTCGGCAGAGAATCTTTAATTTTCCAGGACAGTTCATTGTATTTTTCATATTGAAAATTCTATACGTATATATAATTAGAATTTGGGAACAATTTTATTATTTACCTTTCTGCTATTCGTTTAAGCTAATTATTAAAAAATAATAATAATAATAATAATGATAATAATAATAATAATAATAATAATAATAATAATAACAATAATAATAAGATAAATAAATAAATAAAAAATACACTTCCCATCAACGGGCGTATTACATTTTAATTGTCATATTTTCTTACCAATAATTTTTACGTAATTAAATGACTATAATTTTAATTTAGCATAATGTAAGTCTTCCACACTCGTACTTGTACAATGAAAGAGCTCATGAATTATAAATTCAATGCACTGATATTGCCACTCTTTACGTTATTTATGCACTACGCGTTGAATGAAATGTAGACAATTTTAAAAGATTCATAGTCCTCGATAACGTCTTTTATTATTTTCTATTTTTCTGCACCTCCCGCCATCGCCTACGTAATTTCGTAATTACACGTATTTTATGCATTATATATTAAAATATATGAAAATATATTTATATAAATATATAAATATATTAAAAGTTTGAATTTTTTCTTATGTAGAGCCGTGTGCTTTATGTGTATATAATTGACTTTTCGTCATATATCTATTGTATGTGTAAATATTTATCTTAAAAACTTTTACAGTTCAATACCGTGTGTTAAATCATATTTATTGAATGCATTCTTAATCAATAAGCGTAGATAATAATTTTAAAATAAAAATGAAATTTTTTTATCGTGAATTTACTCGGTAATTTCCTCAAAAAACCTGGCCCTCATTCGACTATTTCAAAACAAAAATTTCCACTTGTGAATTAACCATAATTAATTAACGATAAATTTGTAAATTCAGTAATTTTAGTAGTTTTTCAACAAAATTTAACGATACTTTATTATCAAATACTGATAATTGAAAATGCATATTAATTCTTCCAACTATAGACTATCGCGCTGGAATAATATGATTTACGTTAAGATTCCATCTACTAAGGCCATCTTATCTTATATAAGTAATATTGTCTATATAAATACAGTGCAAACTTTGTCTTATCTTCGTCTGCACAATGAAAACCGAGTATCATAATTTTTCGATAAAATTTTTCATATAAATTTAGCAAGGTTGTATCATCGTATTTCAAATTCTGTAAAATACTGCAGCTAACGTAACTCGCAATAAATTTTTAACATTGTTTTCTTCATATTATGAAAAAAAAACCGTAAAGCTTGAGCATGAATAAGTCTATGTGTACAAAAAGCACACACATACACATACATACATATCTATCTATCTATCTATCTATGTATATATATATATATATATATATATATATATATATATATATACGCAGAGGCAGCAAAGAGTTATTAATAAATATCTTGAAAGGATTATTAATGAGTTTGTAAAGTTTTTAGATCTGCTAGTCTAAGGATTTACGTTAAAATAACATTTTAAACGTTTAACATCACCCGCGACTATTTACGTGTTTCCCTACTTTTTAATCGTTAGTCAACAAAAAAAAAAAAAATAAAAAAAAAATAATGATTCTTCTTTCCCCGCATTGTCGGTACTTTCTTCCATAAAATTAGGAAATATAAATGAGACTTATTTATCGAATTGAATTTCCCTGGATAAACGATAAACGTATCGAGCCGCCCGATACGGCTCGTCTAAACTTCTCCTCGATACATCCGAAATATTCGCTTAAACCTTTGTAATTCTCGGGCCAACAAGTCGGAACTCTATGAGAAATATGTTGAGCTTAACGTTTTGCAAGAAGCCTCCCTCTACTCTTTTACACCTAGTAGAGTAAAAACTTTGTATTTTCTGCTTCGGCCGTCTCCTCTTTAATCATGCGTGCGGGAGTATCGGAGAAAATACTTCGTCAGTAATGGGATATCCTCCCCCCCTCCCCCCCCCCCCCCCCCCCCACCCAACCTCATCCGCATCTGCCCTTATTACCCCGACCCCATAACTCCTCTTTCCCGTCCCATCTCTATCTACATATCTGTAGCTCTTTAGTTCACGAGAAAAGCAAACAGGCCGGAGGCGCGCGTCGTTTTGCTTCCTTATCAGATGCAAATTTATCTTATCTGCGGGCGACGGCTCACGCGCACACGCGCAACGATTTCACACCTCATTGAACGTTCTTCGGGTGCAGGCATTTGCTCACCGGCAGCCGATGCCCCGGCGCCGTGGCCCATTACCTGTGAAAGACTGAGAGATAGAGATAGAGATAGAGATAGAGATAGAGATAGAGATAGATAGATAGAGAGATAGGGGGGAGGGAGAGGTAGCGAGTGATAGAAAGAGAGCAAGGAAGAAGAAAGTAGCCGACGCCCCGGTTATCGCGCGATATAGTCGCTTGCATTATGCGCGCGACGCTCACGCATAACCGAAAACGATGAGTGCGCTCGCGCACGTCACCCTCGACTTTATTACTTTTGTTCTTCTTTTTGTTTTGTTTGTTTCGAACTGGTGGCACATAGGTTGATAACGGCAAGCGTCGAGGCTCACCAAGATGGCCATCGGAAGTATAATCTGCGGAGCTAACACTCCGAAAATCAAGCGAAAAAAGGCAAAGGTATATTATGCTTTCCGATTTTTTAATTTCCATTTTTCGATTTTGAGTCCTCTCGTAATTTGTATCCGCGAATCGCGCTCTTTTGCTTGATCTTACTCTCCAGCGATTGGCAATTAATTACATTCGCCCGTGTTAACAATTATTCGGGCAAAGTGAATTTTCACTTCGCGCGATCAGTTTTGTTTGCAGTAGCCGCGCGTGACGTTAATGTAGAAAAGTCAAAAGTCAAAAGTCATTAAATCTGATAACTCGATTGATTTATTGAGTATTTCATTATAAATATTATACGATAATGCTTTTACAACATTTGCATGTTTATTTCGATTATTAAATTCAATTATATTTACAACAACTGATATGAATGCAAATATTTTTCGAACGGAAGCAAGTTTATGTGCGTTTTTACATTTACAAAATAATACAAACTAGCGGCAAAACATACTTAGTAAGTCCAATTGTTCCAAATTGTTCAAAATTTTCTTACAATATTCCTTTGCCGATTAATTAACAATTAATGCCGCATTACATTTCTAATTGTATCACAAATATATATTATTAATATTTCATTCCAAGGCTTAAAGACTATTTGTCGAAACTCGCGCGCGCAACAAAAACAATGTATAAACTAAACCAATTACCATTACAAATGCATAATTGCAATAGTATAACTGCATATTATATAAATTGTTCCAATACGCGCTCATATGTATTTGCTCTTGGGAAGTGAATAAGAAATAACAGCTCATAACTAACTAAAAGCATATAATATTAAGCTCCCAACTATTACGTAAAAAGCTTTCATCGCTTAGCTTCGTTGGCTCATAATCCATTGTTGCTAATGCAAAGCGACAATGAAGGAGATGGGAAAACAGTAAAGGAGAACTCACAACGATCCACGATTTTAGTAGGCATGTGCTCGTGAAATACTCTTTGTGCGACGCATGTCAACGTATATTCATAAAAATCATGGCATGAGCATTGATTGATAAAGCATGGAAAACTGCACGCAAGTTAATCATCGATTTTGTTTTATAATATTTCCAATGCCGCAAGATCACATTGACTCCCCGACGACTAATAAGTGAATGTGAACATTTACTTTCCGCTCCTTGGCCATTAAATCTTTTCGTAATTCACTGGCAATTCGAGTCATACGCACATTAAGAGCATTACACTCTTCGTTCATCTATACGGACGAATAGAAAAAATTCGCTGATAAATATGCCGTAACTTGTTTCACCAACATCTTGAAAAATATACGACAGAATATAAAGTTAAATTGAATTCAATATGAATGCCTTATGAACTTATGAAGCAACATAATACTTTAAAATTGACTTTGACCTATTTAAAATTGATACTTTTAACATTACATCGGACAGGATTTTAATAAATATTAATAAACCTTATGGGTTAAGTTGCTATGGTAAGCTTAAACAAAGTTTTGCTATTAAAAGTATCTAGAAATCAAATGTATACACGTAACGTTGCTGAAGATTAATTAATTCCTGTGATCAATGGAATGTATGAATATAAATTTCATGGTACTACGTTGTATACGAATCAATAATAAATTAATGAAATGATAACACAAGTTCGGTCGATTTATTTTAATATTATTGTTTCTATATGCATATATATATAATTAATGCTATATATAATTAATAATTAGCACTGATAATAAATGAGCTTTAATATGATAATCTCAAGATCCGAAAGATAAAATTTCAACTACCGATTGTAAATGCTCATTACCGAGAATAGTTATAATAAATTTATGAATTTTCACTCGAGCTTGCCAATATTCAATTTATAATTATTGCACGATGACAAAATTTTACTAGAACTTTATCTTATTCTATTAGAAATAACAGTTTACCAAACATATATAAATAATTACTTTTTTCAACGTAACTCAATATACTTAAATGAAAAGCAAACAAAGAATTTAATTAAATTCGTAAATACAAAGAAAGATGGTGAAACTTTTTATTGTCTTAAAAACGATGTCTTTTGTTCCACAAATAATGGATCGTACTTATATATAAATAAATCAGCCCTCATTCGAAGAGTTAAACGTTCGATGAAACTGGCTCAAGATATCCAATACACTTGTTTTCGTCTTGACATTTCGTGCGCAATGCGAGTGAATTACAAGGACATTTAATGGCGAATAAATGGACATGGGGCGGGTTTTATGCCTCCTTTAAGGAGACGGTTTGACCTTATTTTTTTATAGACGACGGAAAGAAGCTGGATCGAGGCTACCTTCCAGAAGCGAGAATGCACGAAATTCATCCCGAGCGCAAAGGACGAGCACCGGTGAGTATTACAACAACGTTTGCGAGTCCATTAAAGCTCTATACTCGATCTTTTTCTACTGTTTCTTGGTCTTTTTTTTTTGTTTTTTTTTTTTTGTTTTTTTTTTGTTTGTTTTTGTTTTTCTTTAAATTGTCCTATGCCCAGTTTAAAGCGTGCGACCGTTATATTACGATGATGGGGTTATCAGTGGAGAGCAGAGAAGCCACTGGCATATTCAATAATTATACACGACTTATAGAAAGAGAAGTGTAGCAAAAGGCTTTGGCGAGTATACATATGAATCGCTTGACTCACTGCATTTTTCGTTATTTTTTTGTTTTTTTTTCTGTATTTATTTGAAAAAGTGACTTTGACGTTTATACTTTTTATTTTATCGTTTAACGTCCCGAGAAAAATATCGTCTTTGAATTATGTATGATTTGTGCATTTAAGCATTTAACCATAAAAACATTCGTTAGAAATGTGTTTGTAGTGCGATAAAGCATTGTTAATCATAGTTTTAATACCCTATCAATTAGCGATGTCAATTATTTTATTAACAATTTCATTAATTATTGGAACTTCAATTATTTCACATAAAGTCTTGGAATTTTACAAAGATCTGAACTTAATTATGATTTTCCATAGTAATTGCATTTTGTGTGTGTGTGTGTGTGTGTGTGTGTGTGTGTGTGTGTGTGTAATTGTAACACTTTCCGTCAGTATTGGTACAACTACCGTAACCATTATTATAAAGATATTAATTTTAGGGATAGTGAATTATAAAATATAACATTCAAATATTATGTATAAAAGTTGTTTGGCAATTAATCATATTAAATCTACGTATAATTTATTTGTTTCTATTGCTTTTATCGCTATTATTTCTATGCCAATAAATTCAGTTGATAATATTAGCGAACAGACTAATTAATTTTCAAACTTAGATAATTGTGAAATTGGAAATTAATTGCGGGACGTTTATTGTTCGTGCACTTTCTAAAGTCAAGACCAGTGACCGAAACACATGGGTTGGAAAATATTAATTGCAATTTCATAGGTATTTGATAATCGATAAATTTGTTTATGTAAGCGATTTACGCAAGTTTGCAACAGTAGAAAATTATTATAATTGTTTCCGTCTGATGGATCAGAATATATATAAACGTGTATTTATTATTTTTTTTGTTTTTGTTTTGAAACGTACAATCTTAATGACATGCATAGATATGCTTCGGAAAGGCCACTTTTACATGTTTTCAACTGTCGCTATCGCAACTGATTTTGATGTGATTCTCTTTTTATTTTCACAATACTACGTAGAATGAAGATTACTACCGTTATTGAGCCTTTGAAAATAAATTTTGTCGCACGCATTGCGCTCATCGTGCTAATACACTTAAATAAGTGCAACGACAGGGCAGTGCCAGCCGCGATGATTAAATGTGCACAAGTCATACACATTTTACATGCAAATGAATTTTTCTCGGACTTAAACAGTCTTTTCTCGCTTAATTATTATTTTTTTTCTTTTTTCTTCATTTTATCAATCATGACTATTATATATCGCTATGTCACGAGCATAACACTTATTATCTTCTCGGCCGTCATTTGATATCCATTCACAAAACTTCGCTCTATTCCGCGACTCATTTATCTCTCCTCCCCTCACTCCACATCGTCATCGCCAGCCCAGCACGTGGTGAAAAGGGCAAGCAGTTGCCCACGTTGCCACCTGCGACACAATAACACAATTGCACAAATTCCTACGAGCATTACGTGCATATATGCAATTAGATGTGCGTATACGCATCGTAATGCAAGTATTTGCACGCAAACATGGTTTTAACGAAAAACAAAATTAATTGTGCTACCTCATATCATTTTTCTTTTATGATTTACTTTTTTCTTTATTCTCATTACGTTTGTGTAGGTTTGAAGATGTACAGGGCGATAAGAATGCAGAATACGACGTGATCACTACTTCAAGGTGAGGCACAAAATGACGATTGTGCACCCGCCGCCCCTAAGGGACACCCGCACGTACGGGAAAAAATCGCGGTTCCTCTTTGCGAAGGTGTAACTTGTAGACGTTCCACATCCACCTGTTGCTCGTGTGCACATAACCGAGCCCGGGATTTAATTGAGAAATTATGAAAGAATACTAAAATGGCGGACCGTAAGAGTCCGGTGTTCTGCATTGCTTCTGATGGGCAAATCGATCGAACCTTATGAAATCTTGATGGATCGGTTAATATTATTGGGCTATTGGGATAAGGGAGATTCATACTCGTATAATTCACCCTCAACGTTCAATCAATTACATTCAGGGTATTTTAATGGGATTCCGGTAAATCGACAATTGTCAATGAATTGCTGTAAAGTACTTGTAAGTCAGGGGCGATAGGCGGGAGGGGGATGGACGAAACCAATTCCATTAATTAAGGCTTAAGGAGCTTAAGGAGATTATACAATGTAATGAATTTTTCAATTTGATGGGAAAGTCAAATAAATTGTTGTGCATTTAGAGCATTTAAATGATAAAAGCGTCCTGCTGTATTTAATTGCATACATTTATAATGGAGAAAAAACAATTATTAGCCTTCCACTCGAGTTTGTTTTTCAATTAATTGGCTTAATTGCTATTTCTCCCTCGATTAGTGACATTTTATATAATTACGCCCATAATTTCGAAGTCGATTGATTTGTAAAGAAACGTTTCTATTTAAAATACTCATTAAGCTTTACTTATTCATATTGGATTTCATTATATACCGTTCAATTTTCGATTGGTTACATTTGTCAGAATAAAGAATCCTGTTTAATTCAAGCACCTGTATTCGACTTTTCGTAACTACTATATAAAGGATACGATACAAGATTATTATATTCAAGGAATTTAATCTTAAGTTAAAGACAATCTTATCTCATTTTAACGTAAATAGTATCAAATATTAATTCGAATTTTCATTTATCATAAAGCTATAGAGAATATATCCTGTCGTTTTAAAGCGTGTATCGTTGACAAAGGACATTTTTTTCATAACAGTATTATATACATTATTATAAATATAATATATAGTACTTTGGTAATCTCGATTAAATAAGTAAATTATAAATATATTATTGTAGTGACGGTTGAATAAATACTTGGTTGCAAATTTTGCTTTTCGGATCGAAAGATTTACAAAAATATTTTCATATTTCATACGGTATTAATGCAAAAATAATTAACTTATTACTATTCGTATAATTGAGCTTATTTTTATGAATATTACACTTGTTACGCTTATAAACAAATGTTAAAAATGCAACATTTAACAATAAATACATTCTTTATTGGGTTTTACGTTTGCGTACGAATTTATTTCGTTCGAAGAAATCTTATAATTAACATATATTTTAACTCTGCTTCAATTACGTTTTTATATTATTTTTCTTATTGATTCTAAGTGCTTTCGAAATATCGCTGGATTAAGAGAGATAGAAATAGCTATATAAAATGATTTTATAAAATTTCGACGTGCAAGATACATAAGACAAACATATTAATGTTAAATTTAAGTAATTTGTACATTATTATTACAATTTCATGAATGCAGCATGAACAATAATAAATCATCAGTGTAATATATTTAGCGCGTAAGGGGATAAGTATCGGGAGTGTGATATATGTCATATTGTTTAATATAATTATATATCTAAGACAAAGTAAGTCTTGATAAGATATTCGTATGGCAAATATAAGATTCAGTTGCCTTCGGTGTATTAAATTTCTATTTGACTTTGACGTGAATTTCGCGTTGAATTATCATTGAAAACCAATTAGTTTAAAAAATGCCAATAATTAATTATTTATAGCCATAGAATTTTAAAAAATCTATCCATCAAGATTTCAAGACAAACCTTATTTAAGATAAGATTTTATCATTTTACAGTAATACATTATTATATTTTTGGCATCTGTTCATCACAATTTTATCACTATTTTTAGACTATTTAGATAGATATTTAGATTTTATATATATATATATATATATATATATATATATAAATTTTGTTTATTTACAATAGATATTTAGACTATAGACTTTTATAATATAGATATTATGAGTATATACTGTACTTTTAAGTATTTATAAAACTGATTGAGAAGAATTCGTTCCCTCGTATGTTAAAGTTAACGACACTCGAGCAAAGGATGAATATCTCGGAATAAAGAAAATTTATATGAAACGGCAATGCTGCGGATAAATACACAAATCGCGTATGTTAAAATTTTTACAAAAGTCTCTCGCACAACGCACATAAATCCTCTAAATTTCCGCTTAAATAACAATTAATTTGCATAATAATGTTTCGAATTTTAAAAGAATTTTCCATAAATTTTTCATAAATTAATAATAGACGTGTAATTTATCAGTAATTCGCTCTCATTTTCTTAATAAATATGTCCTTCCGATTACCTCGACGATGTAAAAATATGATTACGTATATCTCCTGTAATTGGCTAAGAATCGCTTTCCTAACCGATCATCGTCCCCTTCAAATCCTAAATTCTATATTTTCGCAGCAAGTTTCATTACATATCTATCGATGTGCAACAGTAATTAATTATCGAAAGTGGCCGGCACTGATTTACGAATGAAAATCACACGACCGACGGCACCTTCTCCGTTCAAAGTTAATGCCCGGGTTTCATGAGTGCAGCTCTATCTATTAATACTAATGCACGATAATCTTTGACGATAAGTACGAGTCAATGTTTTCACCCCCTCGAAATTATCCTTACTCGACTCTCTCCCAAAGTAAATAGTCAACTATTCGGTGCAGTTCGCGTCAGTCGCAAAGTACTTCACACGGTAATAATAAATAGAGGAGTTCCGAGACGCGATGAGACACGGCTAAGATTCGATCTTGATTTACCAAGACTTGCAATGTATATCCTAATTTCTTACATCCTTGTACGACTTGTTGATGATAACAATATAACAATGAACCATCGTATCTCATATATGTGTGGCTCGTGTGTAAATGCTTCGTTTACAAGCTCATCTTACATCAGCACATCGACGCTTTTGCTTGAAAGCCAAAACGCAGAGGAAGCGAAGACGCCAGTATCTCGGTGGACGAATTTTGTAATCGGCGCCAGATAGCGAGGAGGAAACGAGTGCTGGTGCTTACGGGAAGGTTGGGGGTGGGGGGACTCCGTGTTCTTAGATCAGCTTGCGATCGAGAGCCAAGGCGACGTCGCATATGTCGGGCGGGTGGTCGTGGGTGGCACGGAGCAGTCGGTGGGCCGAGCGCGGGACGTTATTTTCACCGTTGACCCCTCGTGGCTGGCTTGCAGGTGCTGCTGCGGCCACTCGTACACCCATCACTGTGGCACTGGGGCGGACGTCCAGGGCTTCGCGACCGGAGCCGCCGCCGAGGCCGAGCGAGAAGAATGGAGTCCCGGGAAGAACACCAAGCATTGCCCGACCGACGCTTACGGGACCATCGAATTCCAGGGCCTGCCCCACCCGACCAAAGCACAGGTAAGTTGGACGAGGATCTCGAGCCTCGTCTCGGCAGCTTCCTCTTGGCTTTTTATATACAATAATTGTGTACGTGCTTAGGATTATCGGGCTTGGCCTTTGCTTATTGATACGAGCGCGGCTGGAATTTACACGGGAGAGACAATGAGCTTGCGACGTTTACTTTCGCGATAAAGCGCTTGGGTGAATGGGAGGGAAGATGGTCAAAATTCGCCATTTGTTAAATGGCTAAAGAATGGATTTGACGTGACGTGTAGATTGAGAGAAGTCGCGAGTTGTAGGTAATGATATCGGTGGGGTTTATCATCGCGCAATGGGGATTTGCAAACTTGGTGACGTCGTTTAATCTATGGACAATGTCAGTGTGAAATGCCAGTTAACGATGGATTTTGGACTTTAAATGCTTGTCACACCGTGTCGGAAAGTAACATCATAATATCATCATCATAATTGAAAAATAATCATTCGTCATAGATTACCGAGATGATGAAAATGCGTTTCGCTCGCCTTCCATGAAACGCATCGAGTGAGTAATCTTTCAATATTCGTGAGATTCGTGATTCCAACTGTTATTTTTATCGCAGAATATATAAATAGTTATTTGTTAAATTTATATTCTGCTTATGTGTATGCATTCTTGTAGTATTGACAATAATCAAGGCTATGAAAATAGTTTGTTTTTTCCCTTTGATTTTATATATAACGTTTATTGGTAAATTTAAGCAATTTTAATACTGCTTTAAAGCCAGATAAATATGATCTTTTATCGTTATTGTTAGTAAATCTTATACGACGTTGCTTTATTTCAATATTTCACTAAAATTTACTTAAACGTTTAAAAAGCAAGCGAGCTTTAATGAAACGTGAATTAAGAAATTTACAAAAGTTCGCTTAAACGTTCCGTAACGTTAGAAATTGCTGCAATTCATTTTGCATTTATTTTTATCTTGACTCTTGATGAAGAATTCTGTTTTATTTATCTTCATCAATTCAATAAAACATGTCGGTCTATATAATGAACAAATATAGACAAAGCAATAAATAAATAAAAAAACATAATATAACGAAAAATTATGATTGATATTATGTGCGTGCGCGCGCGCGCCAATAAAGATAACAATAACGAGAGAAAAAAATGAAAGAAAGCAAATGTGACAATGTACTGTATCGATAAATATGAAACAATGGCTGGCTTTAAGCATAATATAAAAGGGAAGGATAATAAAGTGGACCGGCGAGTAGGATAATAATAATAATAATGATGATGATGATGATGATGATAATAACAACTACAAATTTGCGTATATAGTGTGCCGTTCGTTATGGGCCGTTAATTTATATTGATTATCCACCGCGATTTATATCGGCATAGAATGTGGAATTTTCGGTGAAATTTATGGGAAAGTAGTCGTCGCGCGATACGTCGTATTCGTACAAAACATTACCACCTGACTTTGTTAATAAAACTTGGCTGATGTCATTAGCACGACATAATTGGCCGCAACCTGCCAGGCTCTATTTAATAGATTGGAAGGCAGAATTTCGTTCGAATAACGTGGATGCCAAGCGGACAGTCGAGACTATCAAATCCTATCATTATCAAAATCTGCAATTTGAAATGGCCAAGGATCAGAGAATCCCGTAATAGAGCCCGGCCCATAGCCGTAATAGGAAGCTTTCGTTAGTTGCCCCCGAGACGGCCTTGAGACTCTCACATCTCACGGATCTTTCGTCGTTCGTTCAGTACGTTAGATTAGCTCACGACACGAAGCCGGAGCCGATCGTCCAGCTGCTGTGCCGGGAGTGGAATCTGGGTCTGCCCAAACTCCTCATAACCGTCCACGGCGGCCGCTCCAACTTCGAACTCCAGCCGACGCTCAAGAAGGTGCTGAGGAAGGGCTTGCTGAAGGCCGCGAAGACAACCGGAGCGTGGATATTCACCGGGGGCACGAACACAGGTAAGCCCGGCGTTCCTCGAGGCATCTATGTAAGTGTGGCCTCGTGCCGGCTCTAATCAACGCGCGCACGCGGCTTTGCGTTTAAGGAGTGACGAGGCAAGTTGGCGATGCGCTGCTGCTCGAACGCTCGCAGAGGCAAGGCCGAGTCGTGAGTATCGGGATCGCTCCATGGGGCATCTTGGAGAAGAGCCACGAGCTGATCGGGAGGGGCCGGGAGGTCCCCTACGACTCGCTCGCCTCGCCATGGTAACTGTCATTCTCTCCCTCTCCCTCAGCCCCCACGGGCTTGCATGCTCGTTCCTTAACCGCACGCGCGCACCCGTTCCATTGATTTTTCAAACTCTTTGAATTACATCGCCCCCGCGTAAATAAATAAACGTTATTAAGGCCAATCCCGCTTAAAACGCATTGGCGATAGCGCGACATTTTCACCTTGTCGAACATGCAACCTCCCATCCCCGCCGCGACTACCCGCACTCTCATATGCACCTTCCTTCTCCCACTCACTCAGCCGCCGTCAATGCATTATGAAAGATGTGAGTCCGGAGGCTACGAATATATATTCTACTCGGCAGGTCGAAGTTTGCCGTGCTGAACAACCGGCACGCATACTTTTTATTGGTCGACAATGGGACGGGAGGTCGATACGGCGCTGAGATTGTCCTCAGGCGAAAACTCGAGAAATATATATCGAACTTAAAGCTCCAGCCATGTAAGTTCATTTATCATAGCCGGAGATAATCTGATTAGTCGGATTAAGCTTCGACGTGATGATTTTACTTTTGTTTTGACCGCACCTCTACTCGTACTCCGTATCTCTCTTCATCCCCCTTCACCCCCTCCCTTTTTTTTTTCCAACCACCGCCACCACCACCATCCCACCCCACACGCGCCCCACACTCCAAGAATATCCTCAAATCCACCAATGGTACAACGAAGCCCCTAATCGAGAGCCTTTGACTTTGCAGATACGCACAGTAGCATACCCGTGGTGGCGCTCGTCATCGAGGGCGGGACCAACACTATACGCTCCGTCCTGGAGTACGTGACGGACGAGCCCCCGGTGCCCGTAGTCGTGTGCGACGGCTCCGGTCGTGCAGCGGATCTCATTGCTTTTATGCACAAGTAATGCCTCCTCGCTTACTCTTTGTTCCCTGTAATCCCCGAGCTACGCTCTTTGAACCGTGAGGGGCTTATAGTACGTTGCGCGGATGAGGTCGCTGCCGTTTTTCTTTTTTCCTTATTCTATTTTATTTTTTCTTTTTTTGTTTTTTTTTTTTTTTTATAAATACGCGCAAGCCTGTTGAGGCTTTTGAGGGAAGGGCTGGATTTACTTGGTCTCTTCTAGTCCGCGTCGTTAATGCAATTTAACAGTACGAGACACGATATCCAGTGGGCTACGCTCGTTTTGATTTTTCCATTAGCTAATTAATGTACTTGGCACCGTCAATGCCACGTAAATCCTATACATCTTTTGTCAAATGTAATTAATTGACCGTTGTTCCGACATTTTTTCGCCGTAATCGTTGTCGAGTCAGACCAATAGAATACTTACTAGCGACTGATGGGTGATGGCTGGTGGGTGGTGGGTGGTGAGCGATGAGTGGTGAATTCGCTCGTTAATAGCCGTCGTCGCGTTAATTGCAGATACGCCTCGGAAAATGATACCGAAGAGGAAGAGGGACCGCTGGAAAATATGCGAGATCACTTGCTCGATACCATTAAGCGAACCTTCAAGGTTTCTCCCGAACAAGCCAATCAACTCTACGCGGAATTACTGCAATGTGTGCGCAGAAAGCATCTGGTGAATATTTATTTGAATTTTCTCGCCCCTACCAATAATGGCCTGTCCCGAGCACTCCTCCCTTCATTATAATCGATCTACCGCGGGGACTCGGACACCCACCGCTTTATGTTCGCGCTTGTGGCTGTTCAGGAATAACCCGACCGATCATTTACGATCGGCCGTCGAACAATTGCAGATCACGGTGTTTAGGATATCGCAGGATCAGCCGCAGGAGCTCGACCAGACGATCCTCACGGCCCTCTTCAAGTCGCAGCAGCTCTCGCCCGCGGAGCAGCTCTCCCTCGCTCTCATCTGGAATCGCGTGGACATTGCGCGCAGCGAGATCTTCGTATACGGGCAGAAGTGGCCCCCGGGTGCCCTCGAGCAGTCCATGATGCAGGCGCTCCAACACGACCGCATCGACTTTGTCAAGCTCCTGCTGGAGAACGGTGTATCAATGCGCAAATTCCTCTCGATCCCGCGCCTCGAGGAGCTTTATAATACGGTGAGCCCATTATTATCATCATCGCAATCATCATTGTCGTTATCATTCACATCATTGTGATCATTGTCGTTATCGTTAACATTATTAATGTTATTGTTATTATGTAACGGCCGGTGGTAATGAAAAACTCTTTGCTGTCCTTATAGTCAAATTGCCGAGGAGCGAGTGGGGTTATGAGATGGGCGGCGGATACCGGGAATGGGGAATGGGGAATGGGGAATGGGGAATGGGGAATGGGGGAGTGACGCTGAAATTGAGAATTCTAAGAGACTTCGTGGCGTGCCTCGACGTTTATTATCGAACGGGCGACTTCGCGCTCAATTGGAAACGACGTTTGCATAATTGCGCGTAGTACATTTTTTTATTGTTAACTCGAGGGCTCCTCGCCTCGTAGATGCTAATTTGTCGCATTAAACGTTTTTTTACGAGCTATCAATTACCGAGACATTTGCTAGTGACGTAGCGGCTATCCAAACTTTATTGACATACTCTCTTTATCGTCTAGACAGCCACGAACTTTCGACATTTGACGCGTCTTTTTAGTCGTACGATCGTAAGTCGTATGCGCATTATAAATCGTCTATCTCTTTAAATATTGCGTAACGGTTGCGCCCTTGGGAGGCGAGCCCCTTAAAATTAATCCGATCGATTAAACGGGGAGAATTCGGCGCCTGTCGGTGTTCGTTTGTATGAGAGAGAGAGAGAGAGAGAGAGAGAGAGAGCAAGATAGTAGGACGAGGAAAAATCCCAAGGCTAAAATTTTTACCACAGAAGGAGGGTCCATCCAACACCTTAGGCTACATCCTGCGGGATGTCCGACCGCATATACCGCGCGGCTACATGTATACCCTCCACGACATCGGCCTGGTGATAAACAAGCTGATGGGCGGTGCCTACCGCTCGCAGTACACGCGCAAGGAGTTTCGCTTCCTGTACACGAGGGTGATGAAGCGCTCGGGTGGCTATCAGCAGCACCACGCACACCGTAACAGCTGCGCCATCGGCCTTAACAGTCGCTCGTTCTCCGGCTCCGGCGGCAAGTCGACAATGAGCCTTCTCGCTGAGACGATACCCGCGACCCAGGAGACGGCCCTCTTCGACTATCCGTTCAACGAGCTCCTCATCTGGTCGGTGCTCACCAAACGGCAGCACATGGCTCTCCTCATGTGGCAGCACGGTGAGGAGGCCCTCGCCAAGGCCCTCGTCGCCCTCAAGCTCTACAAGGCCATGGCCCACGAGGCTGCGGAGGATGACCTCGAGACCGAGGTCTACGACGAGCTCAAGGGCTACGGCAAGGAATTCGAGAACATCGGTAAGTGCGTCCGCTCGTTCCTGGTTTTCTAGTTTCGTGCACAGGCCGACCGAGACCGCGCCGATCGATGAGGATACAGTGGCTCCATCCATTTATTCCCACCTCTCGCTAATTCGCTATCGAGTATCTCAGCCCCACGAACAACCTAACCTACCGCGCAATTGATCCGCTGAGCGGGAGTGCATCTTTATTTATTAGATTCCATGCTATGTATCGTGACTTTGGCTGCTCTTCCTCGCCCCCCCCCCATACACACACACACACACACACACACATCATTGAAAGTGGCAGAGTTGAGCTAAATTTTGCTCGTATAATTATTCCCTCTAGTCAGCTGGTTGAAGGGGAAAAACATGTAGTAATGTAAAATCCCAGAATATAAATAGATAAATTATTCTATTGACTTTTTTAAAGTACGTTTATAGTGACAAGAAGGTCTTTTATCATCATTTATCGTGATAATTATGACTGTAATATAAATGCACGTCTTATACCACCTAACGACTAATTTGTCCGTAGCCTTGGAATTATTGGACTTCTCCTATCGCCAAGATGACGACCAGACGCAGCAATTACTAACGTCCGAACTGAAAAACTGGTCCGGCCAAACGTGCCTTTCCCTCGCCGTGACCGCGAACCATCGAGCTCTCCTCGCGCATCCCTGCAGCCAAATCATCCTGGCCGATCTTTGGATGGGTGGACTGCGAACGCGCAAAAGCACCAACTTCAAGGTGAGCTGCTAGCCGAGGATGGGAAAAAAAAAAAAAAAAAAAAAAAAAAAAATACGCGGACTCGTGGCTGCTTGAGCGGAAGATCGGCGAGCAATGTAGTGTGCGATCGACGGAGTGCGCAATCGAGTCTACTCGCAGTGCGACACGTTCGCTTCGCCGCTTCTTTTGGTGTCGTGTTAGATCGAGTCGACGATTGAAAATTGACAAGAGCTGACGGGCAAGTGCACACGAAGCCTCTCTTGTAAATAATGTCAAAGAAATCTCATGGAAAATTCAAGACCAACTCGCTTGAGAGTTACGGGCAAAAATTCAATTACGATAGAGGGAGACTGGATCCGCGTGGCTATAAAGCGTAAGGGACTCGATACTTTTCCTACATCGGTACGTAAAATTGCACATAAAGAGTCCTGGCAAGTTTTTAATTTTCATTTTAATTGTCACTGAAATTTTTTTGTTTTTTTATTTTTTTTTTTTTTTTTTTTTTTTTTTTTTTTTTTTTTTTTATACATTTTTTACATCGCGTACGGGGCGAGGAAGGGGAAGGGGGACTGGAGCTTATACGTAAGTGCCGGAGGATTAATTTAACTTTATCCACGAGCTTCGATCAGATTTAAGTATTCCCTAGGAATGCATTAGAACCGTATTGGAGATAGGAAATATTGGATTGACAATAATTAAATATCAAGAATTAAAATTTATGATAATTAAGAAATTGAATGGCGATCCATCGTTTAAAACCTCCCAAAATAGTTTACGCGTAATAAGCATTTATTAGCTTAATTTACGGCATTTAAACATTAATTATTAACGTCCAATTCTCATTATTCCCTAATGAATCGATCGGCTATGATAATCGCCTCACTTACCACCAGCAAACATGATTTTCGACAAAAAAAATAGTCAATGTAAAATGCCATCGCAAGTACTTTCGAATACTTTTCGAATACGTTTGTAATTGTAGGTAATATTGGGCCTCTTCTGCCCAGTCTACATCACCCAATTGGAATTTAAGAGTCGGGAGGAGCTTCAGCTAATGCCACAAACAGCGGAGGAACATCTAATAGCACTGGAGGACGAAAACGAAGACAGCGAATCGGAACACGGGACGCCGACCGGTCCGGACGTGGAGGTAACGACAATTGTCTTGTCGCTTAATAAACCAAATTTCGCCGATCCCTTTTACACCGTTGATTTTACATTCGCAAGCTAATTATCTACGTTTTCGAATAAAATAAAAATAGAGATAAGTAAGAGAGAGAGAGAGAGAGAGAGAGAGAGAGAGAGAGAGAGAGAGAAAGTTCGGCCAGAGTAGCTCTCTAGATAAAGATTTTTAACGATAAGTCGAAACACCAATCGTTTGGCTCACATTAACAATTAAATCAATCATAATATTTCGGGTATAGTGCATGGAAACCAAAACATAATGCTATCGGCCTAAAGTAAAATCGTACAAGACAATTTAATATAGACAAGATAAGCGCAAAATGAATAAATAGCTTCAACTTGTGTGAAAATAAAAGCTGCAAAGTCCAACTTCGTAATATAACATCGACTAATGCTTTACGGCTTTCATTAAATTATCAATAAAGAAAACAGTTAATAGAATAGACGCATCACAGTGAATTAAGTAACGAGAATCGCTTTAATCCTCCCTCTTTATCCCTAATAAACGATTTATCACGCGTTTCTTATTACAATGGTAAGGCAAGTCCATTTATATCAAATAACATTACCGAGTTTAAATTCTTTGCCACGAATTATCCTGATACTCTCACCGACTCCCAATTACCATATTAAAAGCCGAATCATGTTACGTTCGCTCGAAACTTACATGCACTTTGCGCTAATTATAACGAAATTTCAATTAGTGCATCGGTCTAATGAGGTTATACTACCGACGAAAATTCATATAAACAAAGAAGAATAAATAATTCAGTGGACGCCACATCGATATTCGGGTCTCCTCCCTTATAGACTAATAATTAAGTGGGGGGAGGGGAGGGGGCGGGGGGGGATGCGAGAAAGTAGTCGACGGGAAATAAGCCATTAATTCGGAAGCCAAGAGGTCGGATAATGTAATTGTCATCGGTAACAAGGAAAAACGAGGCCGAGCTCGACTATCTGTGGGGTGTCCAATTAAAGTTGAACGCCAGGTAAGCGAAAATCCTGGTGAATCAGCTGTAAAATGGGTAGAACGGGGTGTGGTTTGTAAGTGCACCGCTTGGGTATCGCACGCAGCGCCGTTTTTTTGGTGACAGCCCTGTTACCCCGGAGCTGATTACTTTTTTTTAGAAACGCCCGCCGCGCAGGAGTCTGAGCATTCGCTACAAAGCCAACAGCCAGCAAGGGGTCAAGGTACACGACCGCTTATTTCCTTCGCTCGCACGCACGCTCGCACGCACACGAATCTTAAGTATTCCCCATCTCACCACACACACACACACTCTCTCTCTCTCTCTCTCTCTCTCTCTCTCTCTCTCTCTCTCTATCTCTCTATCTCTCTATCTCTATTTATCTCTATCTATCTCTATCTCTCTATATCTATATATATACCAGTGCTTTACTATTGCACTGGCGTAGCACAGTTGTTAAAAAAAGTAATGCCGATATAAATTTCACAAGGAAAAAACTTCTGGTGATTTTTCATTTGGAAAATATGCGTTGATGAATACGGATATATTCATTTTATTTCCTACCTCTTATTTTCACGGCTCGTGCTACCTCTCCTCCCCCATCATCAACCAACTCTGTTTACGTTTACCCTCCGCCCCTCCCTCGTCACTTGGAAGTGCAGATGCGCGCGTACACAGCCAGAAATTAAGGCGGTGCTTATCGTCGTGACAGCCTCCTCTGCTTTGTCTTCGTCTTGTTCTTTTACTCTTTTTCAGATACGAGTGTAGCAATCATTTCCCACGATGCATGCTTACGTCATTCATTTGGAAGTCTGACAATTCTAACGTGATGTACTAGTTGATTTCACGTTAATTAGGCATCGCACAGTTTATCATTTTTTTGACACGTTTCTCTATCTTGGGCAACGGCGCTTGGGAATAATAATGTTTAATGAGCATATTTGACAGCGCGTTAATTGCCGTATCTCACATGTTTATATAAGTATTGATGATGTTTATCTACTCGTTTGTGCGTAGCAAATGTGTTTAATGAAAATCGAGAGCTCGATTTTAAATGAAAAAATTCAAGCGTTTGCTCCGTTGACTCATTTTTCTCTCATTTCTCCCATATCTCGGGTATCTTGCATACGCCAAAATTCATAATTTTCTTTTTAAACGCGTAAACACGATTCTACATCCTGATATCGCATGTTCACTTTGCACTATACAACTATGCGCCATTATATTATCGCGCAATTACCGCATCATTAAATTTATCTAAATATCGGGTGACTCGTATCATCAGTCAAGAACTAAGCGTTACAACTTTGTATTTGTATTATCACGGAAGTATGTCATGGCTTTTTAAAAATTTCTATATACTAATGAATAATCTCATACAAAATATGAGCAACATAATTTTTATTATTTGTCACTCGCCGCTATACTTCCTCTTAACTTACGTCGCAATTCATTTTATTTTCTAAGCTTGGCGTGAGTCAATTATTCAATATCACCGCCAATCGTCTTCTTATATTCCCTACGATATATTAACACAAATATATTAATTTCTAATTTATACGCAATTTAATATATTTTAATACATTTAATATAGAAGCATTAATTAATTAATCACGTAACAAATATTTGCCAATTAATAATTATTTACCATTTTCAAAATGATGATTTTCAATATAAAAATACCAGTTATAGCAATTCATTCTTAATTTGCTTATTAATAAAAGTTATTCGTCCTAAATGTTTCGATAAAATTTTTCAAGTTATTACAATCAGAATTAAATTTATCTGTTTTAATTGTGAATTGTCGAAATTCCGGTACTTTATTTAGAGGGTGAGAATGTTATTTTTGCATAGGTCGGTATTATTATTTGTATTGATTCATCATTAAAGATGAGTGAGCCTTTAAATATTCAGAAATTCCAATAATGTGATATTGTATCTTCGGTATATTTCACGTGAATTTAATAGAAAATCAAGCTGAATTTTACGTTACATCTTTCCGATATTTTACATTTAGTAATAAAGGTTCGTTGCATTCGGCTCTACTTTCCATCACAGGACTATTTACCATATCTTCGTGCTATAGTTCACATACTTAATTCGGCTACAGGATGTGGTATGATGATAGGACCGGTGAAATTTAATGCCAAGTAAAATCAATTATTTTCAAGAAAATTATAAATACCGACAATAATAACATTACAAATTATAACTTTGACTTTACAAAAGACTATTTCAAAATAATATTCACTATTTGGATTATATGCATAATGCTTTTGTGAAGTCGCGTCGTTGAAGTAAATCTAAAATTTAAAGTTAATATTACTAAAATCCAGAGTAATGGAAAAGAAAAGGGGACTTCACAAACTTGCAACAGTATAAATAAATGATGAGAATAATATTTAAAAACTTTTACTCTTAAAAATTACTGCCACTATATTTACTTATTTATTTCTAAGTGTGTCAATGCATAAATATTTAGCACGTAAATATATAATATAATATAAAATATTCTGTAATTTTGGAATATTTTACAGCATTTTTAAATAATAAAAATAAATTAGAGATAACATTAACCATAGTATGATTTTACCATAATTACACAATGTTCAATTATTTTTTTACAACGCAATATTTTTTTTAACAAAATGTTTGCCAAATTTGTCATCACGAATATTTGACTCTAAAAAAATTTCACTCGATATTAAATCGGTTTCATTACAATGAAACGAAAACCATCGATTAAATTCTAAATTGCATTAACTAAAGGAGTCGTAAGTTGCTCTATCTATCTCCACCTTTTTGAAATGCATCGTAATATATTTGTTATGCTCTACCAGCTTAAAAAGATTTTCCGTCTCACATATTTTTTGTTGGATAGCATCTACTGTGTGCTATGCTTATCACGTCCTTCTTGTCTATCAAATTCTACAGTCATAGCATTTCATAAACTACGTCTTTATCTAAAGGTTTTTCCATTTTATTATTGCCCACGCATTTATATAAATATATATATATATATATATATATATATATATATATATATGTATATATAAACGTGTGTGCGTGTGTACGTGTGTACGTATGTGCGCGCGCATGCGTATACGTACACGTGTATATGGATAATATATATTAATATACATATTTTGAACTTTAATATTTTTTCACATTTCTATATAAAAGTAAACTTTGTAGTATTATTAATAATATTATTATTGTTATTATTATAATTCCTTCTATTACTAATAATATTTTTATTAAATTTTTTTAATATTGATTATTGCTAAAACAACGGATTTGACGTATTTCTTATGTCTATGTTTAAAATTGGTTCTGCATGGACTGCGCTGAAATTTTACGAATCAAAAATTAAAGGCTGAAGATTATATTTTAATCACGTTAATATCTAAAATTAGTGCTTGATTGTCGATAAAAACCAAGAGAGCGAGAGAGCGAGAGAGAGAGAGAGAGAGAGAGGAAGTATAACCGTGTCTTTAATTATGTATGCTAATTATGTAAATAAAATCTTACCTGATAAAAATCATTCATTTTATGATAAAGGTATCTCTTTGTATAAATGATAGATCTTTAAAGAAAAATGGCTCAAAATATTTATGAACAATAATAAAATTTTATATTATATATAAAAGATTGTAAAAGTGAGATAACCTTCGTTGTGACCGAATATTTTCCATTATAATTTTCAAGTTATACGAAGCTATTCCATTACCGTTGGTGCGTCTTTTGTCAACTTATGGCAAATTTTGTTTTTCAATTTTCAATAAAGATTAAATTTAATAGAGATCTATATTACTTTAATTCACTCAACATCTATACATTCTATTAAGATAATGCACAATGTTTATTCTGTAGTATAAAAATAATTTAATTTTGACGGGAGCTTGAAAATTAAGTACTAGTTTTGACTAATGTTAGTTTAATACTAGCTTCGAGAGAGATAAAATATCCACACAATTAAGACATTGCCTCGATAGACAAAATTTAAGAGGCCCGAGTGTAATTACGCAGTATGCTTCGCAAACCGAGAAGCTGTTTAAAAAAGAAACTTCAAAGCTCGCGTATTAACGTACTCGGGCGAGTGTCGCCCGAGTTAATTGGCGGACTTTGACCTCTTGGCTTTCGCGGCTCAGGAGGTGAAAATTCAGAGCAGTCCAAGCTTTATACGAGTCCAATGCTTTCACTTTACGATCCCACGTCAATGAAAACCACTACGTGCCTGTCTTGCATCAGTGTTGCCGAAAGTGCGTATCGCGCTTTTTTCTTCTTTATCGCTCGCAGGCATTGATCGGGAGCGAGCACGGGAGTGCCGTGCCCAAGGCGACGATCGTCCACGAGAACGGCAAAGTGCTGACCGACAACGACGACGGCAATCACCGAGCCTACGGCATACTCTCCGAGTATTACGACAATAAGAGCAGCAGGCCGTTAAGATTGAAGAAAAAGCTGTACGAATTTTACACGGCGCCGATAACCAAATTCTGGGCCAATGCTGTGAGTCAGAGATTATTATTATGTTTTTTTATTTACGTTTTTATTTATTTATTTATTATTTTTTTTTTTTTTGTACTTCCTCGGCGCTCGGTAATATCTGACTATCCGAATGCTTTATCCGCTACTCGTTCTGAAACGACAGGGTTCCACGACATGATACGCACGACGAAGCCATTTTCTCATTGGATAGTTGAGAATGAATGGCCACGTTGGGTCGACAAACCCTTAAATAAATAATTGAGTCGCGTTTTCCGTATACGTTTGCTGATTCGTAGGCTCGGGCTCCGACCTATTAATGTGCCTCTGTTCTTGTGAAATTGGTTAGATTCCGAGGGAAGTAAGTAGAGAAACATTAACGATAAAATATTTGACATGAAAATTGAATTATCAAAGAATCTTAATATATCCCATTCGAGGCTCTTCGATAAATCACGTAGAAATTTAATCTTAGATAAACTCAAGTAGAAAAGATCTGATGTGATCAGGCAGACTTTTAATAGGCTCGGCATGGTACAATACATTTTTAATTAACTTTAACGATTCACTCTCCAAACATAAGTAAATTATTATATATTATATATACTCACGCACACACAAACACTGCATGTAGAGAAAAATATTACTAAAAATACGTGATTTTCAATCGCTAAGACTTAAACTATCTAGATTTATATTAGACGAATTGTCGAAAAAAATTAATATTGGAATAAAGTAAAAGAGAATTCTTACATATATCATTTACGTTTTAGCACTTGATCTTAAATTTCTATAAAAAATAAAAGAAAACTAATTCTTTAACAAATTATTGTTCTTTAATTAATTTAACTGATTTGGTTGTTTGTTTGTTGTTTTTTTTTTTGTGGGATAACTGCTTCAAACTAGTAAGTCCTGTTTCATAGAAATTTTCCTCGAGATTGGCTCATATATTTTTACATCGTTTATAGACTCTTGAAATCTTGGATTAGATCAGACCCTCCATAGATTACAAGATCTTAATTAAAAAGATGCCAATGTCAGGGTTATCTGTTATACACATTCTAATGCCGGTAATGTATAGAAGCAAAAAAACCATCGTGCTCGTTTAATCTAAAATCCTATAATAATATAAGTAATTTAGCTGAGATATATATATTATCATCACGTAATGTATGAACTCTTGCCCTCTCCACCCCACCACTTCCCTCTCTTCATACCTCTTACCTCTTACCCTTACCCACGCCAATAACAGATAGCGTACGTGATATTTCTGCTGCTGTTCTCCTACTCGATTCTTGTGCGTATGGGCGACACGCCGTCCTGGCCGGAGATCTACGCGATCGCTTACATTTGCACGATGGGTTGCGAGAAAGTGCGCGAGATCGCGACCTCCGAGCCGGTCGCCCTCTCCCACAAATTCAGCGTCTGGGCCTGGAACATGTGGAATCCCTGCGACGCCGCGGCCATAATCTTCTTCGTTATTGGTCTTGTACTGAGGCTGAGACCCGCGACCTTCGATGTCGGGAGAACGATATATTGCGTCGACTGCATGTATTGGTATCTACGAATGCTGAATATCCTTGGGGTCAACAAGTATCTCGGTGAGCTTTTATCACATTTGTAATTGGCGTTTTTATTAATTATTTATGGCTTGGGATAATTGACATTCAACTGACTAATAAAAATACACGATCATCTATAACTAATTAGTGTTCTTTACGAGCCAATGAATATTACACTTTTACTTAATGGTAATGTTTTTTTTTCTTTTTATTTAATTAATAAGTGGAATTTTTGGGTAACGTTTTAATCTGTGGCCAATACAAGATATTATAAACGACGAATGATGTTTGCTTTCTTATTCTAAAGCGAACAATAGGCAGTTGATTGTCAATTCTCACATTACAAAAATTAAATCTCCAACAAAAAAACCTTTTGATATTCAAGAATTTTCAGAGCTACTATTACTATTTTAATTGATAATTAATAAATTAATGTAACAACAAAAATTAACAATAAATATATATATATATATATATATATATATATATATATATATATATATTAATTAAAACTAATACTTTTGATTGTATTCAACGTCTTGAGTATCAATTACTGATATTTTCCGTCATGAATATAAAATAATTTAAAATATTAATGTAAATTTATATTTATTCATATATATTATACAATTTTAATTTTCCTTTATAAAGCAAAAATTTATTTTTATTTCTATCATATGAAAATATTAAGGCTATAAATTGATAATATTATTTATATTAAATCTCCTTGCTTATATATATATATATATATATATATATATATATATATATATATATATATAAAACTATTATAAAATAAATAATTATTGAATGGTGATGTTATATTCAAAGTAAGTAATCATTAAACATTATACAGTATTTTATGCACAATTCAAATTAATATGACATTATTAAGTAGCAAACTTACATAATTAGTTCTTTGTTATTTATTATGATTTTAAAACTTTGCCGTTATGTAGCATATGAATAATTAAATAGATGATGTTTTTAGGAATTTTATTAATAGACATAATGTATAACGTATATAAAATATATGTATATATATATATATATATATATATATATATATTCTTCATCAAAATAAAATATAAGGAACAATAAAAAGATATATTTTGTTAGCTCCCTAATAATATATCCTTCATTTCAATCGCAATAACGAAATAGTAATAAATATTAAATAATAACGAATGATTTAATCATTTCGAATTGTCGAGAAATATGTAAGGAAAAAAGTTTTTAATTGAGAGAATGATAGATTTTAAACACTGAAGAGATAATTAATGTTTACGGTTTACAATTGAAAATTACAATCTAAATTTCATACTGTTTATCGAATATAAATTGTAAATTTCAAAACTTATAACAAACATGTTGAAAGGTATTTTTTTAAATCCTGTATAATCTTATCACTATTACGTAAAATATTTTACTATATTCATAGTATTATTTTCTTTATAATTTTAATAATATCAAGGGAATAAAAAATAACGATATTAATTAACTTTTAAGTCGATTAAATTTCAGTTACAAAATTGTATTGATATATACATAGAGCAGTGTTAGTTAATTTTACCTCAATCATTATTTCGTTCAATGCTTATTATGTTATATTTCAGTTATTAATGTTAGTATTGTAAAACAATTTGTATTGGAAATATTATAAATCGGCTCTATTTTGTGTCTATATGATAGTGGAATTTTTTTAAAATAAATAACCTCGATATTCTTTAACTGTAGGCGATTAAACATTACCGTACATTTTATTGCTGCATCATTTTGAAAATTTCATGAAATACTTTTCTCTCGATAAATATATCTGTTCAATACTTTGACAATGTTCATATACAACCACTTTTTGTATCATTTTCATATATGCATATATATTAGCATAATGTGGATCGGTTGTGATCGTAAAAGCATATTTCGTTTGAAAAATTTTGTATTCATAAAGGAATTTCGTAGATTGAATAAAGTATAACGTCACTTTAGCTGCAAGAAGGATTTTACGATATCTCCCGTACTTTGCGATTTTTAAATGTATTTCTCAATAGGCCATGTGGTAGGTAATAAATTTTTTATCCTTATACCTCATGTGTCTGATAGATACAATGAAGGAAAATAACATTAAAAGAGCTCGTATTGATTCGCATTTCGAATTATTTTTACATTATACAATGTAAACAAGGGACGAGTGTATAATATGTAATATTTGTATATTATTTACCTTGAAATGTTATAAAAGAAATTATAATATTTCATAAATTCGTAGAGTAATAATTATTTAGATTATGTATCCATTATGTAAATGAATTTTAAATTTACTATTTATACTGCGGATAAAGTAAATTAAAAAGAAATATATCTCTTTCATTGAGAATGTAATATTTTAATTTATGTATTTAATTTCATTGCTCAAATTACTAGAAATTATAAATTATGTTAAGCACTACATAAGAAACTTTATACTCCTATGAGGATTTATGAATGTAAATATTTAATGTTTTTGTAGGTCCATTGGTAACGATGATGGGGAAAATGGTGAAAAATATGATATATTTTGTGGTGCTTTTGCTCGTGGTATTGATGAGCTTTGGTGTGGCTAGGCAAGCCATACTAAATCCCAATGCTGAGCCAAATTGGAGGATAGTGAGAGATGTAATTTATTTATTTATTGCTTATTATTGTGTAGTTAAGTATTGAATTACAAATTATCCTGAAATTATAATAAGAGATTGGGAATGTATGGCATTTATGAATATCGATAAATATTTTGATTGCCAGTTATAGTTTTATGACCTTAGAACGATGATGGAAAATATCATTATAGGTATAAAATTATGTTTATTAATGCTTCGATCGCGTAGTAATTTCGGATTATCTAATCCGAAAGATTTAAGATAAACGTGCACTCGAATGAACATTATAGAGTAAATTGTACATGAATTGTACATGGACAAGCCATTAGAGAGTCTAGAATAATATAGATAAAGAAATTTCTAATTCCTAATGAAGATGAAACGTTTACATAAGCATGACTAATAATTCTATTGTGATTAAATAAAAATTTATTTTTAGAACGGAACGTCAAAACTTTCATTGATAGTTATATCGTTCAATTAAAAATCTCAGCCAATCAATGGTTCGAGAGGGCACGGACCACTGAATACTTTATAAAAATGAAACTTATTTTAATTTTACATTAATAGGAGGTGGGTTTACGGTTCGAAGATCGCGTATATAACATAAAGAAAGTTTAAAGGAATTTTTAATGAAATTCTTAAAGCGGTTAAAACATAAAAAATATATTGTAGAACAACTTTGCTTGGAAGTATTATTTTTAAAGTGAAATATCGAAAGCTAATGAGAAGAGTCGCGATGGAATTAGCATGCTACTTTCTCCGTTAGAATTAAACTATTTTTAATTAAGAAAGTCACTTTAAAATGTACATTTATGAAAAATTACGTTATTCCCAATGCTACTCTCTTCCGACTTTATCAGATATGTTATTATCTAAGTATCATTTTAAATAGAATAATAATAAATGGAGAAAAAATAAGAGTTGGAAGAATGCCCGAATCGTATAATGAAAGTATTTGGCGATAGCTGGTACATTTATGCGTTTATTTGTAATTGGCAGTGAAACAGATTTCAAATTTCATTAAAAATAATTGGTGCATTCAAAGCACGGCGGAAGTTCATTGTTGAGATAAAATTAAAACAGAATTAAAAAATTTCGCTCTCTCTCTCTCTCTCTCTCTCTCTCTCTCTTATTCATAAGATCTCCATTGTAAGCAAGTCGTTTTTACGAGCTCATAAAATATGCGATTGAACGATTAAAACGAATTAAATGAAAAAAAAAGAAAAAAAAAAAAGAAGAAAAGCTATCCACGTAGTATGGTGGACATGATCCGTGTACCGTGAATTCCTCGACAGGTATTCATGGAGCCGTACTTTATGTTATACGGCGAGGTGTACGCCGATCAAATCGACCCGGATTGCGACAAGAATCCGGGGATGGAGCCTTGCTTACCCGGTCGCTGGATAACGCCAGCGGCGATGGCCGTATACCTCTTGGTGGCCAACATCCTTCTCATCAATCTCTTGATCGCCGTCTTCAATAACATCTTCATCGAGGTGAACGCAGTGGCCCACCAAGTCTGGATGTTCCAGCGCTTCACCGTCGTCATGGAGTACGAGCAGAAGCCCGTTTTACCGCCGCCACTCATCGTCGTCTCCCATCTCTATCTGTTAATTCGATATTTATTAAGGTGGGTAGCATTATTTTTATTTATTTATTATTTTTATCTTTTTATTTTTATCGCTTTATTGTTGTTGTTGTTGTTGTTGTTGTTGTTGTTGCTGCTGCTGTTGTTGAGATTTTTAAAGAACGAAGTTTCAATAGAGCATATTGATTGTTGAGAAAAGTTTGTCGCTAACATTACGCTGAAAGTTGTCCGGGCAAATCCAATGGATTTAAACTCGCTTTTAAAGTTGTGCGATGTTCGTCGTTAAACCGTTGAAAGCATTATTTCATTACGAGTGGAAATTCGAACCATTTTCTCAAGCTTATCTCGTGTGTCCTCTGAATATGTTCCAAGTGCGCTTACAAGACCGAATTTGGAATCTATTCGTCATAATGCTCATCTCGTTGTTAAAGGTACATTACTCAAGGGCGCATGCAATCTGGCGAGACCTGCGATAACGGCCTGAAGCTCTTCCTCGAGGCGGACGACAAGGAGCGTTTATACGATTTTGAGGAGGACTGCGTCGAGGGATACTTCCGCGAGCAAGAATTGAAGCTGCAAATGTCGACGGAGGAAAGGGTCAAGGTCACAACCGAGCGCGTGGAGAACATGCATCAAAAGATCGAGGATATCGATAAGAAGGAGAGCAATCAATCCTCGTCCCTTCAAGTAATCATGCACTCCACTCGATTGAAGCGGCGAATTTTAAAGCGCCAATGTCGATGATTAACGCCAAGAATTTCCGAACATCGGAATGAAATGATAATAACGGCTTCTTACTTTCAAATAACAATTCAAATTAGTCATATAGGAAAATCCGTCCGCATAAGTAATCCTTTATTACTTTTCTATGATATTGTTTCCTATTTACAAGAACTGTCGTTTCCTTTCACATTCTCCATTGTAATGTACATAATAATGAGAATTTTTTTTTTATTCACTCATTCGTTTGTAAATATTCGCGGAATAATGCATTTACAAGGATTATGTTTTAAATTTGAATATTACTGTATTTAGAGAAGGTTTTGAAATACGGACGATTCGGATCGACTACGTCAAATGTACATGAATCACGTGCTCCGGGGCGTTTACAAATATGGAAATTATCTACCAACGACATTTCAATAATGTAATACAAATTATCATTCAGCGTGTTTCATATGAGCATAACAAGGCTATTTTACGATTATATTTAACGTCTTAGCCAATAACGTCGGGTCGTCGAGTCATTACCAAATTAAGAAAATATGTCATAAAGTTTTATAATATACTTTACAGCCTCTAGATAATAATATAGCTGTCGCCTCGCACGACAATGGATAATATTACAAATTATCTTTGTATTTAAAAGTTTAAAATTCCGATAAGTCGCTATTTTGCAAAGATGAGGCTATGGAGTCTCAAAGTATTGGGGGGGGGGGATAGGAAGGTGACGCGAGTAGCTTTACATCGATAATGCGAGGACGACTCACGAGGGCCTATAAAATCATTACAGACGGTGGAGTTTCGCATCCGGAAGCTGGAGGAACTTCACGAGCAGACGCTGGCCCACATGGGAGTGATACATCGGTTCATGGCGACGTACATGCCGAGCGGTCAAGCAAACGAGCACGGAATAGAAGGTCACTTACACCACCTGGAGGTGGAGGTTGGACGGCCGCGGCGCGTCTCCGAGCGCTCGGAGACCGCATTATCCGAAACGGACTCGCACTCCCAGCTGCCGTGCATTCCCTTACGCCGCAAGAAGCTCATAAGGGCGATGACCGACGCGGCTTATCTCAACATGGCGGCGGAAGGCAACCCCGGGCAGCATCACCAGCATCACCAGCATCACCAGCATCACCAGCACCAGCATCATCAGCATCACCATCATCATCAGCAGCAGCAGCAGCAGCAGCATCATCATCATCAACTCGAGCACGAGGAGATGATCGCTCTTAAGCACAACGCGGTCATTATCACCGAGTCACGGGAGAACCTCAGCAGAAACGACTCGTCGGTAAGCGGGGAGATCGCGACGCTCCAGGACGAATCCAAGGAGAGCACCAGCCATGATGACTGCGACGTCCCCAGAGCCGAGGTGAGTCTTCTAAAAGTTTCAACTTTCGCCTTCATTCGATTAATACGACCTCGTCGTTCGCATGGGAGTTAATTGTACTGGTGAATGAGAATGTCACTAGACACGTGATTATGCATACCACTTTTTATGAATTTTATTAAAACGACTCGTTGAATTTGAAAAAAGAGAAAAAATTCAACTTTTCATTGAAATTTATCTTATGCAATGGATTTCATAAGTTGATAATGAAATAATCTTTGAATTATTCGCGATCCGAAAGCCGATAGTACGGCACTAACATAGCGAATGTACTTAGTCAGTAATTGATAAACGAATAAAATTAATCTTTCGATAATCTGAAAAATTGATCTTCGTTGATGTGAAAACATTGTCATTCTTTGTTCATTATCATGACAAAATCACATTAAATACGCGATGAGAAAGTAGTTAATACCAATGCACCAATGCGCTTCTTTAATCGTATCGCCCGCTTACAAGGAATACTATTAAGATAAGAAATAATAAATCTGTCAAAATATTTATTAAACCAAAATGCTCACTCAAACGTTAAAGAGTTCAAAGAAATAATGTTGATGTAATTTTTCAAACACATAGTTCAGTTTATTATTATTATTTGATTATGAATTTTACAATATATGTATATGTATATACATACAGATTTACTCACAACCAACCATTCGATTAATTTAAATGGCGAGTCCTTTAAGTGATGAAACTTTGGTAATCGCGATATTATTCGCAATTGAAATTGAATTATATAAAATGCATTCGAGTTAAAAAAAAAAAAAAGGAATGGAAACTTTGTCCCGTCGATACGACATGACAGGGAAGGGAGTTGCGATCTACAAAAAGAAAGTTTCTAAGCTGATAATCCGTTTTATCTCCCAGCTGAAGGATCTGAAGGCGGACAAATCGGAGGAGCGGGACACTTCGGGGGAGGTGACGACGGCGACATCGGACTCCCGGCAGGATTCCGGAGAGAGGTCAAGTCGCCAGAATAGCCGGACCCGCTCGGAATCCCTGGCCGAGGAGATGTCGACGCCGACGCCGACACCGACGGCGACACCGACGGCGACACCGACGGCCGTACCATCGGTGAGCTTCCAACGGGGTGTGACCTGGGCCGAGCCGCGGGTCGCAGTGATCCAACCGTCGGGTATGGTCTCCCAGGCTTCGTTATCAGCAGCATCGGGCTCGCCCACGGCGACAACGTCGATGACGGCGACGATGACGACGACGACGACGACGACGACGACAACGACGACGACAACGACGACGACGACGACGACGACAACGACGACAACGATAACGACGACGACGACGGCGGCGGCGAGCTCGGCACCCACGACTGCGAGTGGCTCCCGCTCCCTACTCCTAGCGATGCGCGCCGAGTACACAAGCATAACCGACGAGCTAGAGAGCTACTGCGGTCTCCTGAGTCCCCCCAGGACGCCCCCGGTCTCACCGCCACCATGCCGCGTACGAAGCGTCTCCGAGCGTAGCGGCCACAACGCCATGGAGATCGCCTGGCAGATCGAGAACGAGCACCTCAGGGACGCCGAGAAGTGCGATTACCAGCAAATGGAGGACCTTATTCAAAGGAGGTGGGAAAGAAGTCTCTCTTTTCTTAATCACTGCCTCAACGGCCCGACTCGCTTAGCTATTCGATTCTTTCTTTATACTTTTCCCAGCATCTCCTTGGTAAGCAACATAAGTGGCCAAGACTCGGTGTTGGCCTAAAATATATCCTTACAGATATCTTTTTTATTGTATTACTAGGCTTTTCTTTTTTATCGCGTTATTTGGTTGATAAATTTATACTTGCGTTACATTTTCCTGTCAATCAACTGCATTGAAATATCATTTTTTTCTTTCTACCTACGATCCTTGTGCATGAGAAATTCAACGAACAATGGATCTTCGCCAACAATGTCAAAGTTAATTTTAAAATCATTTGTCAATTATCTGTAATTATAATAATCCCTATGCTATTGACTTTTGTTCGAATTATCCAGCATAACTACCAGTCCTCGTTTCTTGGGGGAGGGGGGGGGGGTAGAAATAAAACCAAAAAAAATCAAAGAAAAGTAAAGAACAAAACCTCGAGTTGATTTCATGCGTTTGTTCGCTTATTGTAGAACTTTTAATTATGTTCCAAGAGCTTTTTTATTGTATAAGCGGTATCGTAGAAAAGAATAACAAGCCATCGAGCTTCCGGTGCTAAAAAATATTCCTTTTAAAAGCCTCTAAAAAAAAAAAATGCTCATCATTTATTATTGTTCTTTCATATTATCTTGGTTATTGTACGATATATAGCCATAAACATGCGTTCGCTGCTCAAAAGGTTAGTAATAAAGATTGATTAGCTTGAATTGACGTTCTTTTCGCTATAAGCTACTATAATATAATTTAAAAGAAGCGGAATATAAGTAGCAATGGTCAATGGGGTAAATCTTAATGTCCGTGGCAATGCTCGATCGACGTAATCAACGTCGACGGCTCGAATACCCGCGATAAACATAACGACACTAACACCCATTAATTACAATGGCACACACATTGAGTCGTTAACTCGTTTGATTATCACAGCGCAAGATCGCGAGCAAAGGATGATCGATATGCGCTGACTAAACGACAATGTCCTCCTTACGCAGGTACAATCTGAACGACGACGAGGGTAGCGGCCACGAGGACCCGGTCCCCAGCACCACCTCTTTCTTCATAAGCAACGAGATACACCCGCGGCTACGTCGTGCCTCCGCTATCGACGAGGATAGTACGAGCCGTAGACGCTGTCAGCGCCTTCCGCCCACCATAAACGTCACCCAGGAGATCGAGCAGACGCTCGCTAGGCCCGCGGCGACACGCGACAGCGCCGAGTCCGATCCCAACGACAAGTCCATGAGCGCGCTCGCGGCTCCCGCCTCGGAGACCATGTGCTAAGGACCCGCTAATACTGCTAAGGCAGCTCGATCGCTGATTCAACTGATCTAGAGGATGATGGGCGATCATTGCCGATTTGAAGAGCTTTTTCTTGGTTAATTGGCAATCCGCGTCGAAGCTACATTAGCAACTGAACGATAACGTTGGCCCTTTGCCGGATATTATTTAAGCTCGGAGCTACTAATTGTCGTGCACTTGATAATTAAGTAATTAATGGTTGACTCTAATCGCAACATTCCTACATCTAGGAGCGAATTAACGCTACGAGCCTCATTTCCGGATCTTTTCTATCAATTTTCGATTTCTTTTGATAAGTCAGCATGGAGTCGTTTGCTTGATTCTGCAACGATGAAGTTGAATTCTTAACTCGGAATTCAATTAGGGGCCGCCATTTATTATTCACTGGATTGAAATAGTCAATAGTACTCCCACGCAACTAACTCCCTAGCTCTAAACGAGTAAAATTTACTTTTAAAATCCAGATGACACGATTAATGATTAACGAGCGATATTGATACGAATATTGATAAATGTTGCTTGAATCGGCGAGTACTACTACTACTACTACTACTACTACTACTACTACTTAGCACGAGTTAGTTAATTTTTGTTAATTGTTAGAAATTGAATATTAAAGCAGAGTTTTTTTTTATAAATTACTTTTTTAATGATAATTTAGCTCCATTAGTATTTAGTTTAGAATGAATTTTTTTATATAATTATATCACCTACGTTCTTAACAGGTCTCGAAACGGCTGTGATCGATGAACTGTGTTTTAGCTGCTTGTTTCCATTTCGTCATTCCCAGTTTTGATGTTAGACGAAGGATTTGCATTTTATGAAGGGGGAATTCAAAAGAGATGAAAGCAATATGTGTAAAAAAAAAAAAAAAAAAAAATGCTTTAAAATAACGTAAATAACTTCGATGAATAGGAATTATTTCAGTCTATTGGATTAAGGGAGCGAAGTGACTATTGCCATCAATGCAACCTGCTCAGGTTACAAGGAAAATAAATTCTTTAAATATAAGCGCCGCATAATCTTAATTTTTTATGTAATTAAATTACACAGGAAAGGTCTTAAAGAGTCTAAATACAAATGCATTGTTGATTTTTCTTTTTCTTTTTTTCTTCTTTTTTTCTTTTCTTTTTCTTCAATGATTATTTCTACGAACGCGATAATACTTTTATTCTCTATTGAATATATAAGGGATTTTATTTCACTGGGATTGACTTTTATGTACATACGAGATAATAAGAGGAAGAAAAAAAGAAGCGTATTATCGGGCTAGTGTAGGTAGGGCTGGATTGTCGTAGAGAATCCGAACAATTGTGTAATAAATGTAAAATATCTTATATCGATAGAAAATTATGTAACTGTAATGTGAGGTGACGACATTTTACTCAGCCACTTGCGCTCTATTGCACTAAATTGTTACTATGTGCGATAAGCAATCATTGGTGCGTCTTACTATTAAAATTTGTCACAATAAGCAATAAAATAATTAAATTGCGCAATATTCACCACTCTCCTGCGGAGTGAGACACAAGGTTTAAAAAATATCTAAGCGCCAGATTTCGTGAATAAAAATTTGATTACACATTATGAATAAATCAATATTTATGATTTTTATTCAATATAATAAAAACGATAAAAATGACGACTCAATTTTGTCAATCTATTTCACTCAAGAATTTCAAAAAGAAAATATTTCCTATGTTAAACGAAGATAATTACTTGCTTGAAAAAATTATCCAATTATATTTATTTAAGTGCAACAAGTTATGTATAAATTTCGCATGTTTCTCATAAAAAAATACCAATCGATTCGATAAAATACAATAGTTATTTACAATTTTTGCATGCCTGTGTACGTGTATCTTTGTGTGTGTATGCGCGCGCATAATATATTACACAATCACAAAATTACTATTTGATTTATATCTAATTTATATATATATATATATATATATACGTACTTTGTTCGGGATCGTGCAACATTTTAATTAACAATTATTTTTTTTTTTTTTTTTTTTTTTTTTTTTTTTTAAAATGAAAAATCATCCACAGTTATTTTAATTTTTTAATAAATTCGAAAATCGAAGCAATTTAAATTATTAAAAGATTATTGTAATTAATGGATTTCTCTTTTGATTTTAAATATTTATCTATTAATAAAATAATCGTTGAAATCAGTATCAGTTCGATTTTTAATTGTAGATTATTACATTATTTATTATAAATTTGTATAATGTTTATCTAACTGACGAATAAGAAAATGGTATTGTTCAATTAAGTCGACATGATAATTCAATTTAATTTAAGATAAGAATAGGCAATTCAATAGTATAAATGCATGATTACTTCTTCATTTACGAGTGCATACTACTTGATGATTGAAAATCATTCTCATATACATATACCAAGATTTAATTTGATTGAAAGAAAATCAAATGCATCTTGTGAATTATGAGGAATCGTATTGTTAACGGCAGAAAAAGTTGAGAGCCTTGATAAAATAAATAATAAATATAAGGATTCTTCGTTAAATCAAAATGATATTTCCAGCCCTATTATTCATTATTAAATTACTAAATATTCAAAAATATAACTATTTCCTTTTTATTATATTTACTATATTACTTTTCCTTTACATTTTTCTTACAATTATTTTTATTTTACCATTTTCTCGAGATCTTTTGAGCGACGAATGCAGTATGTTACGTCCAATAATACGATCAAATGTAAACAACATCGAATTTAAATTACATTTACTTAAAAGCTGATAAAAACAAAAAAAGAATATTTTACGCGATCAAGGCAAAATGCTATTTTTATCTACATTGTACATTGTATATGTATTGATCGTAATGCTGAATGTTTTAATAATAGATGAGAGCCGAATATTTATAAACTATACATCTTACGTCTTTTTAAGTTCGCTTCAAAAATGAAAAAATAACGAATTACGTAAGATCTTTGGACTTTTATTGGTGGGAATGCTTTGAAAAAAAAAAAAAAAAAAAAAAAAAAATTCAACAAGGACCACACAGTCGTCAAAGTCATATCACGCGATGAATTAAATATTAAATTACATTACCCAAGCATAACAATGGCTCCGCTAAAATCTGTATTATACAAAATCTATGATGAATTTGCCGAGTATAAGAAAAGAAAAAATTTTATGTAATTATTATTATATTTGTACAAATATTTATGAAAAATTATCACACTATACAACTATACAATATACGTGATTGATGTCACTCTATTAGTAGTAATATCAACTGCTATACATTTGTGATAAAAACCTTATGTACGATTTCTACTCATTATATACAATTTACGTAATTACATATACTTATATATGTAGGTTTTGAAAGTAATTTTTAATATAATTTTTTTTATGTCGTAACTTATCATAAATGATATTTTATATTGCTATCGCGTATTGTGTCGTGAAATTTTTGTTATTTGTTAATTATATTTAAATGTAAACACACACACACACACACACACACATACACACACACATATATATATGAACTTGCATAACTAGACAATTTTATTTAACATCAATGACATTATAACAATATTTAAAAATATAATTTATACATAATTACATATAATTTTTTCTCAGGCAAATAATAAATAGCTGTAAATAAATATCCATTATTATAATATAGAAATAAAATGTTCTAGCAGGTCTGAACACTCTTCCTTCGAACTGTAATAATAAAATTTTATTAAGGTATATTGTATTACCGATTTAATTAAATTGGAGAATCTTTGTTGAAATTATAGCTATGAGGATAAAATGGAAAATTTAAATATATGTTACAAGAGAATATATAATAAACAAAAGTATCTAAGCTCCTGAAAATATTATAAAATTCATGCCATTACGTATAACGTAAAAATTAATTTTCATTATTTGCTCCTTAATATTTCTCTTTTTCTTTCTTTTTCCTGCACAAAAGGAACAATGCAAAGAAAATTTTAAAAGACAAAAAAATGATAATCATAATTACTATAAATAGCCGCTGACTGTTAAGAATATTAAATCTCTCGTTAAAATAAATTAAATACAATCTTCTTTCCTTTTGTCAATAATGAAGAAATTTCGATGGATATTCATGACTTGAAGACTAAACTAAAAAATCAACTAAAATAAAGACTCGATTGAATCGCCAATTTAATGATAGCGATTGCCGAGAATGGCCTAAAATAATTGTAATTTTAAATAATAATTGTAATAATAATAATAATGATAATGATAATGATAATGATAAAAGTGTCATGTTTATTAAACAAATGTATCGCACACAGCTCAAGGGAGGCCATTTTTAGCCGAACCAATATTGTTTTTCTATCTAATGAATTTCTGTCTTTTTAAAATATATCCGAATACTTTTATATCGCGTAATGTCTAGTCAACATAAAAATTATCCAAATAAAATTTCAAATCTAATTACACTTTATGATAAAATTAAGCAAGATTTCTTCAACTTATTTGTCCATTTAATCTTGCTACAAATGGAAAAATATGAGTCTCGGTTGTTACTTCCAACATCAGAACTTTTATAAACATTCTTATTCCTATATATCAAGTAATTGCTAAGAATTAATTTTAAAAGTGTATTCGAAATTCGTCGATATTTAGAATTCGTATATCGTATATAATTTATGCGCGTAACAACAATGCAACTCTGCATACAATTCGCTTATAATCCCAAAAGTGATGATTTGTCACATTCGACTTACCACTGACTACTTACGAAATCTTAATAATGCGAATTTAAAATAACTTTACTGAATAATTTGAAATCGTCGTTTTTCAAATAACGAAAACTTGATGTTCATGCTTATTTTTTTTTTTTTTTTATCTTCTTTTGAAATGCAATATTTACGCTTACCTCGTGCGTATTATTATATTCTCGTAAATTCCCAAATTAGAGAATTAAGCTAAACTAGACGTTCTAAGCAAAATGTGCAAATTTAATCAACGGCATTTTTCTTGATCCTTGGGCTTGTCGTTTATATTTATTCGAAGAGTTATTTTCTAAGAGATTTTATTTCATATAAATTGCATGTATGGAGTTAAATGTAAAAAAATTAAAAAAATGTTCAATTGACATATTTTATTTTCTAAGATACGTACATCTTCATTTGCTTATTATAATAATCAACGAAATCTATCTTCAATATCTCAACGTTATAATCAGCAGAATTAGCGATTAAACCCATTAAAATTATACATATATTAATGTCTTTTATGATTTCCTATTTTTGCAGGAATGTGAAAACAAAACCTAAAATAATAAATATATCTAATTTATTCCAATTCGAATAAATTTTGTATTTGATAATCCGTTAGTTCTTTTTACTGTTCGCGTAATGTGGCGAGAGTTTGATGCATTTGAGCTCAAAAATTAAAAATTTCATGTTACCATAATGCAAAGATATATTTATATTCTTAAGATTTCTAGTTACCTCTAATATAATCTCAATGTCGTGCGATTCTATTCCAATGATTATAAAGAAGATGTTTAATTTTGAAAATTCGACCGAATTGTATTTATGATAAACATCGAGTCGCAAATTATACATCAACATTATCATTATATAACGATGGCGTAAAAATGTTTTCAACGTTTTATTTGGTCTATGCAATGTTCAAAAAACAAAATTATGCAATTTAGTCAATCTCGGCTACTAATAATAATCATTTTGCTTCTTACATGCAAAAAAAGAAAAAATTAAATTTAAAATAAAATAAACATAGTTATTCTTATATGACACAAAGTTGCTAATCGATAGGAATGTGAAATTTCTATTTTCGCTAGACACGCAGCTTATAATTAATTTTTCATGCGCAATATTTTGACAATTGTATTATTTATGTGTGTTTGTTTTTCTCTTTTTTTTCTTCGAATAAATTTAGAAAAATTCTTATAAATATCCAGAGTTTTAATCATGATTTATAATGATTAATTTTACGATAATATTCTCATTCTTCGAAAGCTTTAAGCTGTTGTACAATTCCAGGCGACTTTCGCCGATGAACTTATATATGCTATTTTTCTTGTATAAATAAATTTAAATAAAAATTAAATGTAGAGAAAAGCAAAGTAAAGAATGTAATAAGAGAAAAAAGAAAAAATGATCTTTAAAGGACACGATCCAGTGAACTTTAATTGTGTTTAATAATATAAAATTATTATTAAATGCCTAATCTCAATGTTTATAGTTAAGCACCTAACCTTCCTTAGTGACGTTTATATATTTGTTTGTTTGCTCGATTGAAAATAAATATTTATTTGACCATATTATACGCGATAATTATGTTGATTTTTTAAAACGTGACGTAGGGCGAACGTATTTTTTACAATTTTATTATAATTGTGTAAGTACACGTTAAGAGCGGTGTGGTAATGTTTCATTTTAACGTTTTGTGCTCGAGTAGGAATATAAGCAATGATATTTTGAAAAAATTTCACAAAATCGCCATTCTAAAAATCTATAAAATCAATGTATAACTTGTCTTCCTCATGTATCATCAAATATATAATTTGACGCGAGACAAGTTATTTTCTTAAACAGAGACAATATAAGCTACAAACGTTGAATCATTGAATTCTATATTTCATTCGTGTATTAAGTAGCACAAACGAAAGGGAAAATACGTACAGCCCGAATAATAAAAGATTTGAAACACGAAAATCAAAGAAAAGCAATGTTAATAAACGTGAAAAAAGGCCTTTTGTCGATAATATTAATTTTATGAGATCACGAACGAGTCGCTCGTTATTTAATATTAAGTTTTCGAAATTATTGTAACTCGAATTATAATTATTATACACTTCGATTATCTATATTGTTATATTCTTCTTTATTTCATCGTCGTTTTGCCTACGTAAATTAATTAATTAATCTAAATTGCAATAAAATTCGTCTTAAGAATTATTTGCATAAAAATATACATACGATGCTACCTTATCTTTTAACATGTTAAGTCATAATAAAATTTGATTACTAGAGAATTATTAGAGAATGTGTTTCTTGATAAACACATGTATTCGATATTATTTTATAAATAATGTGTACATACAATTGAATAAAATTTATGTTTTTGGAGCAATTTGATTTGAAATTATTCACTTTGATCGAGACGATCGATATTTTACTTTAAACTATAATCATTTTCAATTAACATATTCATATCAATTATGCAGACATTCGAATTTTATATAAATTAAGATGGCTTTAACGTTATATGTATACTGCCCATACAGATTGCATCAGTCAATTGGTTTGGTTGTGTTGGCGCGTATTTTTACGAAATATAATATGATAATTAAAATCAGCAATTTCAGAATCCTAATTTCATATTTATTTTCATTATTTTCATTTCATATTAAGTAATAATTCATAGCGATTAATAAATTATTAATATCATTTGTGCTGCTAAGCAATTAGTACGGGATATCGTTGAGTAGACGATTGTTAAATATATATTATCGAACTCGAATAAGAATATTTAAAGTATTTGATATCGGACACGAACGTTCTAATTTGCGTAATATGACCGAATTTTGAAGAAACAAATTGTTCCAATCAGTAATCATTTCCAGGATAAATAACGTGTTGCATCGTTACGCTTTAAACAAATTATTTCAATTGATTTGCGATAATCAATTAGCCACATGTTTCACAGCATTCATCTAGCACTTTATTTCCTACGTTTATAACATTTATTCTTTTTTCCCGATTTAATGCTTTTTAATTGGCTTTTTCATTATAATGATAGGGGCGCGAGTCTCGACTAAATCAATGACAAACCAAACAATCCATCGAATTTCGTTAAAATGTCATTTATAATTGAACCATGAAAAGCGGAGGGAATAGTTTTGTCGACGGACAATTATATTACGATAACTGCACCTGTGACAATGCTTTGACGGCAAATGTCATTTGCAAATCCGAGAGATTGTACGTTTGGCAATGACGACTTTCGATTATTAACGATAATAAATGAACGGGAGAAATGGTTATCTTTCTCTGGACTTCATTTCCATAAAGCGCAATACTGTCTGTTCGAACGTATTTGAATTTGCAATCGCAAGTTACCTTACCGACATTCGCACAACGCATAAATCATGATTTAGCCATTGTTCGCTGTAACCTTCTATCCCCACTAAAGTAAATACTATCGATACAATATCTCTAATTCTCCCTCTCTATCTATCTATCTCTCAACAACGTTAATCTTAACAGATAAAAAAGTCCATCCGATATTGGCGCAATTATCGTAAATACAATTGTAAGAATAACTGCGTTACCTTCCGAGTATGCTCGATCAAACTTCCACTACCTATACTCCTGCAGACTCCAAACTAACTCGACCAAGACGTTTAGCTTAGATTGCCACCGACATGTACCAATCCGCGCGAATAATCTCCGATATTCGCTGGTGCATTCATTTTCAAAAACGTAATGACCGTTAATCAATGGAGGACGCTCGGTTCAATCGCGAAACTCTCTATCCTCAGCCGCTCGGCAAGAGCGGTCCTGCGCTGCCCTTTCGATCCGTGACCCAAGGTCGTTAAATGTGTGCCAAGGTGTTAACCGGTGGTCGACGCTTCGCTTAGCCCGGTCGGAAACCTAACCTCAAACGGCATGCGGGAACGCGCATGCGGTATCTTCTCGTGTCCGCGCGTGGATATTGGCGGCTCAGAGGGTGAGAGGGTGAAAGAGAAGGACGATGACGATGAGAAGGATGAGGAGGCTGAGGAGTGGAACGCACGGACTCGATGGAGCTCGGGGTGGGGGCCGACCCCAGCATCCCCAAGCGGACCTTCCGGGCAGCTCGGGCTACGGCAGCGGCGCCTCGTCTCCCTCTCGCGGGGGCCCGCGGCTCCGGCTAGTCCTAGTTCCGCGATTGCAGCGGCGGCATTCGCGCTTCAAACATGGCAGCGGCTACCAGCGTTGTCGTGCTCGACCGGGGCAACAACACCACCTGCACGATCAATCTTCACGGTGCGTCCCGTCATTTACCGCACCCTGACATCTCCACCAGCCCCTTAACCCCGTTTTCGTTGCGTCCGTCGTCACCAATTCGCCTCCCACGTAACCGGATCAACCTCATCGACAGACCTCAGTGATAGATAAGATAGTGCGCTCGCGATCGCGATCGCGCTTACGCCGGTTATTGACCGGGCGACCAATAACCGTCGTCCTCTCGCCGCAGATTCCAACGTCGAGTAGGCACGACGGGACACCAGGTCCTCGAGTGCGGCCAGGAGATCGAGAAACGGCACCTGGGGGTTGGGGTCCCGGGTCCCGATCGGCTACGTTACTCGGCGATTCTGCTTTCGATCGTCGTTTACATCGTTAGGAAGAGCCGCGCGCGGATTGACGTAAGCGAGATCCGAGAGGCGATCGCGACCGGATATTATCCGGATGGCAAGGATTTCCCGGCCGGGGGAGCAAGACCGTACCTCCGTACGAGGTAGCAATTTCACTGGCTGCGGCTAATGCGATCGTCTTTTGGCCGTCGCACCCTCGCTAGTTAAATGCTGATTTAATTTCAGCCTTCGCGCCGTGCCGCTTCGACGCAATTTGCAAGTCAAACTTGCCGCGAGCGCCGCCACCCCCGTACGCTCCTCCTCCACCTCCTTCACCGCCCGAGCGACTCACGCAGCTCAAGGGCCACGGGATGATAGTTTAATAATCATTATAATCATCGTCGTCGTCATTCTCATCGTCATCGTTATCGTCATCGTCATTATCATTATCGTCGACCATCGATTATCAAATGTTAATAAATCTTCTCTTTTTGCAGGTGCGACCGTCGTGTCTTGGCGGGTCAACAATCAGGAGCAGCTGTTTGTCAGGTGAGTGTCATTATTTTGCATTGTTCGGGCTGGAAAGTTGGAAGTGTAGTAGTGGCGATTGCCCAGAGGTAATCAATTCATAACAAATTCCGTCGTTCGACGTCGATATAAATATCGCAGTGCCGCGACACATGGGATTATTCGTCCGACTTTGAGGGCTTCCCCCCCCCATCCCCCCATACCCCCCATCCCCCCATCCCACATCCCATATCCCCCATCCCCACCCGTCGCTCGTTACCGTCGGACAATTTTATTACACGATTAATGTTCAAGGCACAATAATACGACGAGAGATCTAATTCTTCCTAATAGCACGTATTGACTTGTGGATTTACGCTCGAGTGAATTCTATTAAAGGATTATGTAATTATACGTCAAAGGTAATTCTTCGTATTGCGCAAGTGGACGTCAGTGAACGAGATTATCACTAAATTGATAAATACACTTACGATCTTGCAAATTTAATGTATTGTCATCTTCGCTATATATATATATATATATATATATATATATACGCGTGCGCGCACACATAGTATTAAAGCGATCGTAATTGATCTAATAAGGGTATCTATATCATTTGACTGGCAAATTATTTATCGATAATAGCTAAAGGCACGAGCGATTAAAAATAAGAATTTGAAATAGTTTTTGCGTTAAATTAATTACCAATAGAGGCCGTTTAATGATTAAACGTCGCGTTCACCCAGACGGACATTTCGAGTATTTATTGAGTCGACACGAGCACGGGCCCATTCAAGCAAATTAAGTAAAGTAATTACAGGAGCAAAAAAAAAAGAAAGAAAAAAAAAGAAGAAGAATAGAGAAAAAAAAGAGAGAAAGAGCAACTAAGCTATTTATCTACTTGAGCTTAATATCGAACTTTGACGCGGTTAAAAAGTGAAAATTAATCTCCCGACACAATAAAGATATAAGTAAAGAAAAAAATGAAAGAAAAAATGAAAGAAGGAAGAAAAAGTGAAAGAGAGCGACGCCGCTTGTTTCGTGACTATTACGCGGACGGCAAAAGTCTTTGCCTTATCTGCCCAGCATGCAAAACACGTGTTCTTCTTCGAGGAGTAAAGCTAATACTCTCCTTCCCTCTCGCTCTCCATGAGCTTGTCGCTTTGCTTTCTTTTTTTTCTTCTTTTTTTTCTTTTCTGGTTTTTTTGTTTGTTTGTTTTTTTTTTTGTTTTTGTTTCTCTATTTTTTGTCAGGTACCGTGCACGAGGCACAAGAGCACATTACATTAACGCGAATGTACTTTACGGTGGCAAAACCCAGGTGCTGCCGGTCTCAGCTGGTGCAAAGTATCCACATGTCAAAAAAGACATGTTGGATCGTTTCCCCGTTACAATTAGCTTTTGTAATGTGAAATGGGAGAGGTAGTGCGCGCACGTACACGATGTCGAATGGATCGTCGCGTTATAATAATTTTACCTGTTCCACTAATCGATGATGTAAATATTGGCGATACGCACCGGATGCTGCAAAAAACTCGAGATCTCATTGTTTTGGAGATGAAGTGCCGGGTAATCAGCCGGAAATATTCAGGAGAGGCGCCATACACGACCATAATTCACATTTAGACGCAATCATTGACAGTCAAGCATAAAGTAATAAAGCCTGCGCTCGTAATTGCAAATTTTAATCGTTGCCTCGCCTAACGCGCGCTCGCTTAACATACGCGCAATAAACATTGATTGTCGGTGTAAGAATTTTATTAAAATGCACCTGGTAACTAATTTATTATTGCATTAGCATCATTGAGAATTTTAAATGTTGTTTCGACGCGCCGCGACCTCGAACATTCCGTAAAATTCCGTTATGAATCTTATTAACGGGGCGTCGAGGCTGAGAATTTCGCAGATGCATCAGCGACGATAAGCGCTTGGGCGCGAATTTCGACATGGACGTCGACGATTCTTGCGAAAGCACATGGTGTGGCGAGGGGGAAGGGCGGAGGGATGGCTCGCTGGCGTCGTTTACGTTACTGGTAGCTGGCGGGAGGGGCGGACAATGAAGGAAAAAAGAGCGTC